CTCTGTCCTCTCCAATTTTGCAGAAACTTTACAATATTGTGTATTTTTACGTATAACACGAATCTGTAAATAAAAATTGTCGCTCTTAAAAAGGAAAAAAGTTATTCTCCCCGTAGAGGGACCGGATTTTTAATTTACAGATTCGCGTTTTACGCACAAAAATACACAACATTGTAAACATGCTATATTGAATTTATCTTGAAATCCGATGGGTATATATTTTTCTACCGCTTCATCAATAAATAATCAAATAAATAATTCGACTCACATTTCGATCGTTCCTTTTTTCTGGTCACGAAAATTGTCCTCGAAGAAGCTTCGAAATAATTGCACTCGCGTTACTTTTTTTCGTTCGCGACTTGCGGCGACGCCGGGGTTTTAAAATCTGACAATTTTCGACGCGTTTCGGCAAAGTGTTTCGAAAGCTTCTACGAGAATAGTTTCCGACATAGAGATTGGTTTCCCTCAGGAAAAATGGTAAGGAATCTGGAGTATGCCGAGACCCGAGAAGAAGAATAATCGTAATGTGAGTCGAATTATTTTATTTCATTATCTACTTTATTAATAAACGATCAAAAATATACGTCGAAGTTGACCGGATTTCGTCAAGATAATCTTAATATCCGGGGGGAGGAAAACGGAATCTACTGTAATTTTTTTCCTATTTGAGAGTAACAATTTTAATTTACAAATTCGTATTGTACGTAAAAATACACAATATTGTAAAGTTTCTGTAAAATCGGAGAGGGCAAAGCTCTCTTTTAATATTACAAGAATATATATTTGCTAAATATATTTTATATATCCTATTTATTAAAGTTTATTAAAATTATTATGGTAAATATATGTGTAATTGTTTATTTTTCAAAATACAAATTGAAAAAAATTCTAATATAAATTGTCACAAATTGTACAGATATATGAGATATAGACATATAATTTAGATAAATTGTCAAAAATTGTTATTAAAAATTTTGAAAAATTGAAATATCAATATTTAAATTTAAAGGTATAATATTTAAATATTTATTGCTTTACGCACAAATAACACATAGAAGAAACAAGATATAAAAAATTAGAATGTTTTAATTCAATATCGAAGGAATTTGAAATATATACATATGTATAAGTATATGTGTAGTATGATTTTGCTTCTATAAAATTAAATACATTTAAATTACAAATATGTATTACAAATATCCTATATGCAGAATGTCTCGAATATTTATTACTGAATATTTATTAAGAACAGATTTTCCAGCCAATTTAAACGAGTTTTTTTTAATGAAAAAAGAAAAAAAGATCATCGTTTTTCGCAAGTTTCTAATTTTATCCATCATATATCTTTGTAACTTTGTAGCCTCAAATTCTTTCAAACTAACTTCAGCTGTAATTAATTAAACGTATTTTTTTAATTATACAAAGTTTGCAAAAAGTTTTTTATTCAATCACTTACAACTCGAAAATTATTCATACCTCACAACATTTTGTTAAAAAAACTTATCCAAATTGATCAGAGAATTTGTATTAAAAAAACATCCATTAGTTTTGGAACATTCTTTATACAATATTTATTAAAAATCTATTTCCAAATATATAGCACACATTTAAAATTTATATTTTTAATAAATATTTAAAAAATTATAAATGTAATTCTATACATATTTCCATAATATCTATTTAAGAACAGATTTTGCAGCCAATTTAAAGACGAGCTTTTCTTAGCAAAAAATCGATAAAGGAGAGAGATGACATATAATTCTTATGATAACATAATAATAATTATTATATAAAAGTTATATGTGTGTCTCTATTATCTCGTTATTTTATAAGCAATATATAAAATAGTTAAATGAATGGCCAGCAGACAAAATATGTCGTGTATTATACCGCCATAGAGAATCACTGTTGTTTTAAATAATGTCTACCGTCATAGAGAGTCTCACATAACGGTTGTAACAAGAAAAAGACGGCACCTTGCACATTTTCCCCGCAGCTTTTCCCATTATAGAGTAATCTCACGGAAAAGCGAGGCGAGAGATCGGCGCTCGTTATCAACGCGCTGAGAAAGGATTTATTCGCTGCCGCGGTGTGAAGAGAAAGAAAAAAAAAGAAAAAAGACATTCGCCACTTTGCCGTCAACTTGTCGCGAAAGACAGAAAGAGAGAAAGCGCTGTCTCTCGAACATCTCGTAACCGGATGATACAGAAATGAATGTCTTTGTGCGCCGGAAATCGGCACTCGACGAACGAGCAAACGCCTTCGTTTCATACGCGACATTTCTTGGAGGTATCTCGCGATTTCGCCATCGGTATCAAAGAAGAAAAGAAGGGGGTGCGACCAGACGAGGATCTCAATCCTTTCCTTTAATCCTACCCTCCTCTTTCTCCGTTCACCCTCGAGAAATTACGATCAAATCCCGCGGGACGCGAAGGAAAAAGGAGAGAGATTCGGCGAGAAATGGAAGAGGAAAAAGGCAAAGACGGAGTGCTCGAAAGAGATGAAGAGGACAGGGTTGAGAGGGAGAGAGTACGATTTTGATCGGGGAAAAGTAGGAGCACTCGATCGTGAAGCTGCGCGAGAGAGGGTGGCACAATCGGAAGCTCTCCATGTCGCCCGGCTTGAGGAAAGAGATTCGCTCTCGTCGGTTCGCGACTCGGCGAGTTTCGCTGCTGCTTCCTCTCCATCGTGTCTACAATCGAACGTACTTTATCTTTCGCCACTTTAGAGAGAGCGAAGAATCTAACAAACGATCTCTTACCTGGAAAGCACGGTACCAAGACGCGACGCAACTTTAATACGCGACATACGTCTCTCTTTCGGTTCTTAGGAGAAATACTTGCACATTTGTCACAGAAACGCGAAAATAGAAGAAAAAATAGTATCGGTATCTCTTTTTTTCAACTCATCTAAAATTACAATGTTAAAAATTTATATATGTAAACCTAATCTTAATAAAAAAAGACTTTACGCGCGATTCTCTGCGGGAAAAAATCTCTCGAACGAAACGAGATAGAAAAAAATTAAGGTAATTTACATTCAGGAATGCTAAATAAAAGACACTTCCCTCCGGTCTGCCTTTTTCTCGTCTTCCGAGACCGCGGATGTAGCCCGGGCAAATACTCGACGGAATGAAAATTTATTGGCAATATCGCGACACGGGCGGTTGGAGCCGGGCCGTAGCTCTTGTATGAAAAATACATTCGCGTAATACGTTTCAAGTCGGCCAGCTCTCCCCAACGGGGCGGTCGATTGTCTCGCGGGACCAAAACGCGCAGCGGCGCGATTCCGCTCGTGAAATACTATCGCGTTTTATTAAGACCCGCGCACGTGCCCCGCCCCGAGAGAGGAATGCATTATGCGAATTTATATGCGTGCGTATAGATACGGAGGCAGTGTCGTAAATTTGTCACGAGATTTATGCAACTTCGATACGTATGTACATACACAATATCCGGAGCTCTCAAATAACAGCCGCGTTCGCAACGCGTGCGATAGGCAGCCGATCGGGAAATCCTCTCCCTTGGGACAAATCGCGCGGATAAGATTCTCTCGCGGAACTCCGCAGGATTTATTGAATTCCCTCCTGGACACGCGCAACTTTTAAGTACTTTTACGACACATCGTATAGCGGTGCTCGCGAACTTCTTCGTCTTCTAACGACTCGGCGATCCAAGTCTCATCGACGAACTTTCTGACTGAATCTTTTACGCGAACATTTAAATCCTAGTCATGATTTCATTGACTGTGGGATGTATTCAGATTTTAGCAAAACACATTTATTAACATATAATGGTCATTGAAATAAAATCAAAGTATCTTGCCTTCTAGTAAATGTCTATCTTTTACAAAGATATATTTCTTTCTTAATATTATATTTATTATACCATAAATATATTATTTTGCAGATTATTTTCAAAAATTTTTTTTTTCTACAATATAATTTAAAATATTAAAGATAACACATTTAGTATTTTTTTTTTTTTACAAGTAGATAATATCTTAAAAAAATATGGATACGTTCTCTTTTGGAATATATGTATAAGTCTTTTGTAAATTATGAAAGCAATATTGCCAAATTTTCTTGCAAAAGTTTTCATCACGATCCCTGCAGAATTATTAAAGTTCTAAATTAGGAATCAAGCAAAGTTTGATGGATTATAAATGTGGAAGACGAGTGAATGCTTCTTGTGCTCCTGAACAATCCAAAGTCCAAATGTGCTGTCCGATCTGGAACTGTCAGCGACTACAGATAGAGAAGCAGCAAGAGAATTTCTGGGATAAACGCTGCTGGATGCCGACGTCGTTTCTAGGTCGATGTATCCGAAAAGCCAACGAAATTGATCTACTCTCTCTCTCTCTCCTTTCATGCCCCCGCCTCTTTGCTGTACCAACTGCTTTGCCTTTTGATGAAAAATTATTCGTCAACGAGGCAGAGTGCGAGAGACAGAAGAGAGACAAGAACAAAGTGATAGAAAGAGAGAGAGAGAGAGAGAGAGAGAGAGAGAAGATGAGCTATTTAAAGAATGTATCAGTCTTCAAACACTTGAACCTGATCGCAATGACTTCGAAAATCGATTATGCGACAAACTTTGAGAATATCACGACTAGCGCGATAAGATATTCTAATGCACGTTCAATAAGCACAACCATAAAATTGTGTTGTCATATAAGCGGCAAAATATGTATATATTTAATATATTTTATCTTCGATATTTTAATATTTGCATTCATTCCGTATATTTACGTTTTTTTCACAGGAATTAACAATTATCATTTGACAGTATATTTTTCCTCGATTATTTCTATTTATTTTAATTATACTGAATGTATTTACAATTTTTAATTAATAATTTAATGCATAAACAATTATAGTAGGAAAAATGCTACTTTTTAAAAATTATTATGTAAATAAGAAATATAAACTCTTTAAATAACGTAGTAACACACTCACAAATGTTATTATGTTGAAAGCATTTTCTCGACGCTTTCGCTTGCAGGTGGTACGCACAAACAGGTGCAGAACCAATGTTGGTACTTTCCGGACCCAGAACTAGATTACTTGGTTCTGTACTGGCCATCGAGGCAGTAACATTAGAGGACAGCGGTGTATATCGCTGTTCTGCTTCCAATCCTGGTGGAGAAGCGAGTGCCGAAATAAGGTAATTCAGTAATATAAATTAATATGAATTAAAATTAATCGAATAAATTCAATAATTTAAAATAAATTATCAAATCTTGATATATCCATATAATATAATTTATCAATACAAATGTCAATTATATTTTAATGAGAGACTTGATAATTTATTTCATTTTATTGCGTGTTTTCCATGCATTTTCAATTACATCATTTCACTTTAATCATTACATCACCACGCGTCGTCTAACACCACATCGTGGGTTAAATGTAGCTCGTAGCTGACGTAACATCGATATTTTTATTATAACCTCAGGTTAATCGTGACGGCGCCTCTTCACGTGGAAGTGACACCTCCGTTGCTCAGCGTTCACTTAGGAGGCAACGCCGAGTTCAGATGCGAGGTCGGCACACATCCGCAAGCTGGACCGCACTTTATCACGTGGTACAAGGACGGTAGGCAACTCCCAGGGTCGGGAAGGCAATCGGAATTACTCAGGCTCAACGGAATCGGGAGGGATGATCGCGGGATGTATCAGTGCATTGTGAGAAAATCGGAAGGGGATACAGCTCAAGCGTCGGCGGAGCTTCAATTAGGCGGTACGTAACCTACTCTTCTCATCTTCTCATTCGTCTTCTCTTTCACACAAATCACAGAAATTCGCGAAGAAGATGAGAATACGGTGAAGAGAATTTTCTCTTAGAATTTACCCGGAAAATTATGGTAATTGTGGTATTGGAATTTTGTAAGTTTTCTGATTAATATTTATCACAATAAAATAATATTAATATAAATTAAGCAAACATATTTTACATCTTATTGTGGTAAATATTAATCAGAGAAACTCTTATAAAATTCTTCTAATAAAAATTGTCCCGCGATTATCATGATTTCCGGAGTAAATTCTAAGAAAAAATCCTTCCCGTGTACGATTCTTTTTCGAATAAATGAAATGTATAAATGAAAAGAAATAATATAAAGTAATTGGAATCTTCAAAAAGCTGCATTTGGACGATAGATACTTCGATTTTGAATCAATATGTAATTGAAATACGGTCCAGTTGAAAGCAAAAGCCATTTTCATGGCTTCGCAGAAAAATATTATATAGCTTAGCGAAAATTAATATTACGTCAATGGCTTCATTTTAAACACAGTGAAGCGTTACTCGAGCATGAAACATTTCGCAGATTAAATACGCCGTTAAAGGCCCGACGTAACGGTTCAGTTTCATGCGGAAAGTACTAATAACTAACTGCACTCTGATGGCGAGTGTATAGCATCATCCCCAGGGATATAGCGTATAATAAAGGAGACATCTAGTACGGTGACTCGATCTCCTTGCGTCAGGATATTGACTCTCATTTCGCTCTCTTTCTCCCGCGTCGTCTTCGAAAAGCGCCGTCAAAGGTGTCTTCCTAGCGAAACGGAAGACACCGGCAGCGCACCGATCGACAGCCCGCGTTATACTACCTATCGAATTACACAGAACTTGATTACTCGGCAAAGAGGCGGTGGTCGCCGCGTGCCACGCTGCTGGTCGAGAGACAGGGTGCACTTTGAAGCGCGGAGGGATCTCTTCTTTTACAGCGTTTTACCTCGTTTCGTAGCCTGTACAATTTCGCCGTACCTTTCATCGTACAATCTCGTCGCGTCCTGTACAGAACGTCCTCTTTTCACGATATCGACCGCTTACTCTAACACAGATAAATGAATTTAAGGTTTCAGTTCTCCGCTCGACAAAAAAATTTTTCCCAACTCTAATTACAGAAATATTTAATGCAGGAAATTAAGAGGTTTTCGTAAAGTTAAATTTCATCAGCGAGAGGAACTGGCAAAAACTTTGTTACCCGATTCCAAGTGAATTCTCGGTGGGATTTAATTCGGAATTTCGCTTTTCCGGAATATTCAACGTGGAACATTTTAGAAGAAGCCGCAACGGGCCGTTTGTAAAATATTCGCGGATTATTAAAAATTCATTAAAGAATCTATTGCTAATAGTTGAATATACCGCACAAAGGGAGAGAAAAAGAGAAACAGAGAGAGAGAGAGAGAGGGACCGGACACACCCCGTATATCTAGATCAGCCGTTCCGGGGGATGTGGGCGGCAGGACAGGGTGGAGGGGCCTTTGAAACAACAATGAAGTTAGCGTCTCTCGCTCGTCAGCGTCAGTAATGCACGGAATTTACGTCAAAGGGAATTCGAGCGAGCGCCGACAGCAGGGACATCCCGGAGCTGCGCGGGCGAGTGAGACAAAGCGATCGCCGATGCAATTTCGCCGCGCGCGAGAATGAACGAGGCAGAGAAAAACGGCCCGGCCGGAACGGAGCGGCTGCAGAAAAAGTCATTTCCGAGAGAGAGAGAGAGAGAGAGAGAGAAGGAGAGAGCTCGGCAAATTGTGCGAAATGCATTCCGCCGAATTCAAGCACCGCCACTCGTAAAATCTGCCCGGCGAAGTAGCCGCGTATACGATTGGCCGACAGTTACCGACGTTTCTCGCGATTAGCGGACGCTTTATCGATTCGCTCTGATTGCCTCGGCTTCGGAGGAGAAATCGAAGGGGAGAAAAAGTGATTTTGCGTGAGCGCGAAACACGTCGTCGCGCTATTATAAAATTGATATCGCTGCGCGCTTGATTATTAGCATGCGGAAAATGTGCATCGGATGTAGGAAAATGAATTCTTCGTCGAGGCTTTTTCTCTCTATTTATACTCTGTCTCTCTGGTATATCAATATCTCTAAAAACTCACCTTTAAAAAGGTAAAAAGGCGACCAGTTAAGGGCACGCCATTAACAAAAATTATCCATTGCAAACCCATGTATAATAGAATTGTATGAAAAATTATCGATTATAAACCCATGTACAATCGTAACAAAAGTAATGAAATAAAAAAAAATTGTGCCAAGTGAAAGTAGAAACTTGTACCAGTGGAAAATTAAAGTTGCAGACATATATAGAGTCGTATAATGAATCAATAAAAATTTAAATTTGCAAATGTAGAATTGTACCATAAAAACTTATCGATAAACAAGATGCCAAGTCCATGCGCCATGTGAAAAAGTGTTAAACAAAAAGTATTTTTAAGTAAAAATCTATCAATTGACAAAAATTTATGTTCTAAAATTAATATCTCTACAAAAAGTAATGTCCAATTATTGCGCGAATAAATAAACATTTTTATAAAAAATTAAAATTTAAAAACTTATGCAAATTTAAAATTAATATAAAATAAAAAGAAATAAAAAAATTTTAGTTAAAAAAACTGTAACTGTAAAGTAACAATTTAATTTTAATATCATTAGAATATTATTTAGCAGCGCGCCCAGTCAATCGATTAAGTCTAGTATAAACTCGATTGCTTCAGCCGTTATTATCTCTTGATATTAATGTGCGTATATAAGGATCTCAAGAGTATATATCTCGTGCATCGTCGGTCTCTGCATAAAAAACGTTCCGCTTCGCTATATATAATTTTAAACATCAGAGTAAAAGCGCGAATTTTCTATATGGTACGCAACAGAATAGGAGCGACGGCAGAAAAGTAATTTCCTCGGACGAACAAAACTGCCAAATTAGTCAAAATGAATTTCTCGTGTTTCAAGCAAAAGCGCTGCACGCGCACGCTTAAAAAGCGCGTTTTTTACCAAACCGACTAACGTCCAAGTCTTTAATTTGCCATTTTTTATCGATCCATCAAAAATATAATCGTGTCGAAAATATAAATCGGAGAAATGCAAATATAAATCCAATTACTCTACTGCATAGTAAAGGAGTTCTCTCGTGTCATTATAAAAAATCTCCGTTGAAATTAAATGTATTTATATGCACAAAAATCGCACGGTCCGCGAATATATTTTTATTAAATAACAAATATTTTAAATCCGACGATTCTCATACTTTGACAGATAATGAATCGCGACGACGTACAATCAATGTAAAAGCAGTAGAAGACGTTCCTGTTGAATGACGAACAAATTTTCCTCTACCAGAGTACTGTGTAATGCCTGGCGTCGGTCGCCATCACCATCACTTAAAATTCCATTTCATCGACCGGAGGTGGAAACAGCCGCGACTACGAGAGACTCGATGATGATCGCCGAGAGGCATCGAGAGGGGATTCATCAATTTGCGCATAGATTCGCGAGCAAGAGAATAACCACCGACATTCTCCCTCTCGTTCGGACCATTTTCTTCCTTCTCTCCTTCGAGGCTCGTATTCTCTTTACGACGCGAAGCTTTTTTAATGACGGCGGAATCGACACTTTTAATTACGAGCACAGCCGGATAGATCGACGCGGCTATTCGATCCCGATGAGCTCTCCCTCTCACGACGAAGATTATATATATATATATATATATATTCAGAATTTTCTTCTTCTACGCTCTCGCGAGCTTCGCGCTCATCAGTCTTCTTTTCTCCGTGTTGCCGGAGTAACGTCGACAAAGAAAAGAGAAATATTCGCACGGTGCTTCCATGATGGCGGGTCCATTGTCTCTCGTATTTCCATCGCGATGTGCACTGGGCGTGGCGGCTTTCAGGATCAGGATATCGCACGGCGTCCTCACTCTTGCCTTCTTCTTTCCACGGCTCGCCCTCGTAACCCTTCGCTTAACTCCCGTTGCACTCGCATTTTATTGTCGAGTCGCGGTACTCGCGTGGATTACATCGGTAATCCACATTTTCATAGCGGAGATAAATACAAATGTATATATGGGAATAAAATTTCTCAACTTGAATATAAATAGTAGGCTTGGGTCGTAAAATAAAAAAACGTGAAACATTTCTGCAATAATTTTTAAGAACGTATAGTCGGTTTAGCCGCTCGCGCGCAAATATCGAATTTGCATTAATTCCGCGCCGCGTGCGCAAATGTTTCTCTTTTATTTTAAACGGTCGCTCGCAGCTACATATTTTCCCAAGTTCCAGCAACTTTGATTAACGATAACGCTTGGCGGCGTTAAAGTATCCGGCGCGTAATTAAGCTCGACTTAACGTTCCAGACGCGCCGCCGGTTCTCCTATACTCGTTCATCGAGCAGACACTCCAGCCAGGACCCGCCGTATCCTTAAAATGTTCCGCCGCAGGAAACCCAACACCGCAGGTATCATGGGCGTTGGACGGTTTTCCCTTACCGACTAATGGAAGGTAAGTTCGTTCTCCTAATTCTCCGAAATGGCCTACATTTTTGCTGATATATTCCGCGTGCTCATTTTCGGGACTTCATGTATCTCATAATTCACCGGTATAATTATAATGATTTTGCGAAAAAGACAGAGAGAGAAGGAAATGATATCGCGATATCGTAATTTTATACGTATCATGATTATGGCATTTGAGCGATATCGATTACGATATTGAATATACACGCGCGATATTTTATTTTCTTTATCTTGTACTATTATCATGTGACAACTACACGTTATTATCGATATCAAATAGCTCTCGAAGAGATGAAACATAAGATTGTGATCGACGTTCTTGAAATGATGGCGCCATCGAGAATGCAAGACGCCCTAAATGTCGCTTATGTCATTATCATAATTTTTGACGGTGTCATTCGCGATCGTCTCGATGCGTGTGTAAGCAATTCCGTGTGTAATATCCCAGGCAGGAACGAGAATATTTATCGCATAGATGACGTATGGACTGACCATATCGTTGGATACGTATATGTGCGAGTCCCACGTGTAGTTTAACGACTGATCGATGTAAAGGATCCACTATCTCGAGGATTTTGTCGTATACCATTTTATCACCGTCGCTCGTATCCCTTTGCTCGGGCGCAGTTTCATGTAGCTATAGTTTTATTCTCTACTCGAGACAAATTCTAAACGATAATGCGCAACAATAACGCCGGAGATTTGTCGTGAGATTCATGAGATCGCGCAGTTTTGAGAGCTATTAAATTAACAATGGAAACGTGAAATGTTTCTCTGAAAAATCTATGCATCTTTTCGTCTCACCGGGATTTTTATTATATTTTTATTACGCTACATTATACACACGCTATTGTGCTAGAAATATTATTACTGTAACTGTGTGTGTCTGCTGTTACGTAATACATTTTTTTAAATACGATTATTGGAATTTAATTCTCTCTTTTTATTAAATTGGATGAATACGACAAATTACTGTGATTATTATTACTGTGTAAATTAATTTTCATATAAAAACTCATTGTTGCGCAAGATTCGTCATTGGTCAATACGTAACGGTGCACGGCGACGTCATATCCCACGTCAATATAAGCCACGTTATGGTGGAGGACGGAGGCGAATATTCCTGCACCGCCGAAAATCGCGCGGGAAAAGTGACACATGCTGCGCGACTAAATGTTTACGGTATGTAACTTTGGCTAATTATTCTCATATGTAATTTAACGAGATAAAATTACAAATAATATTAATTTTGTATGATTGCTCCAAAACTAATAATACATAACGATCCTTTGTACATATCATAACAATTTTTCAAAATGACGCATCCGCATAAATGATAATTCACTACTAATGTATAATTATTCACATGTAAATTATAATATTATTAATAATAATAAAAAAAACCTAATAAGAGCTGAGCGTGATATAAAATAAAAATATCATATTATATTTCTATATTGAAAAATGAGAATTTTATGCTCCATTAGCATTGCATGATTTCGTTCGCAGTAAAAATTAAATTAGACGATATTTCTGAATCGATTGTTACCGAATTTATCAAAGTTTTCCATTAGAGCTCATAAAATACCAGGAAAATACATAAATGAGGAAATCTTCTACGTAGGACTTCCATACATACGTCTGATCCCGAAAGTGACCGCCGTCGCCGGCGAGACTCTCCGTTTGAAGTGTCCCGTGGCCGGATACCCGATCGAGGAGATCAGATGGGAGAGAGGGAATCGCGAATTACCGGACGATCTACGTCAGAAGGTACTTCGAGACGGCACCCTGATGATCAGCAGCGTGCAGAAGAGCGGCGACGCCGGCGTTTACACCTGTTGGGCGAGGAACAAGCAGGGCCACAGCGCCAGGAGATCCGGAGACGTCGCAGTGATTGGTAAGGCATATTACTTCCGGTTTCCTACGATAACGAATTGTCGCAGATGGACCATTCGGACGGAAGACGATCTGGTAACGGATATCACAAGGAGACGAGGGAGATTCGCGAGGTCGGGAAGACAGATTCGAGCATTACCGAAAATGACTAATCAAGACGAGGAAGAAAGATGAGGGTCAGGAACGGATAGAAAGATAATTTCTAGGATTGCGCGCAAGGAGAGACGGAGACACACGCCAATTGTGTTACCGATTGCCGTCTATGTATTGTACGTGCGCTCACGAGCTTTCTCGTTGTTATTATTCCAGTTCCCCCCAAAATTAGCCCGTTCACGGCAGATCGCGACCTGCACCTCGGCGAACGTACCACCCTGACGTGCTCGGTGACTAGAGGCGATCTGCCGCTGTCCATCACGTGGCTCAAAGACGGACGCTCGATGGGGCCGTCGGAGCGCGTCACTGTCACCAATGTGGACCAGTACAATAGCATACTGATGATTGAAAGTTTATCTCCAGATCACAATGGCAACTACTCGTGCGTGGCCCGTAATGTGGCCGCAGAGGTATCGCACACGCAGCGGCTTGTGGTTCATGGTAATCCTCCTCTAGGCCCCCTACAATTTGCCCGACGACCGCCTGACCGCCCGAGTTTTGCGTGTGCGTGTGTGTGGGTCAATTGCGTTGCGTGCGTGCGAACCATGTCGGCCGGTTTCGGAAATGGGTCGCGCGTGTAAAAGCTGCATGTGGAAATCCCGTGTCCTCGTTGTCATAAACGGCAACGGTTATTACATTTTGATTACGCGCGAGAGATCTGTCGTAAACACAGTTTCGAGTTTAATGGGAAAAATAATGATAATAATAAAATCGACGATGCTTCCAAGACGATCCATGACGATGACCTCGCCGACTTTTCGTCACCAAGGAACGTAGAGACTTGGTGACTTGTAATTAAAGATTGCTCACGCTTAGCGTGACTCTTCCTTATGCACGATACCTGCTTCTACCTCTCCCACACGTCCTCGAAGGGAAGTCGCATTTTGACTTCTCGAGAGCGACGCCGCGCGTTTCCTCCTGCATCTGATTACATCTCTATTTCATTCATATTTTTCATTTTTGCAAATTTCGAAGTAAACAAAAAACGAAGAAACTTACTTATTTGAGACATGTAATTGATAATTGAATGAATTTTGAAGGAAACGACGCGGTAGCTTCGAAAAGATGAACGAACGCTCGCTCTTAATTGGAAAGAATCGGATGCTGCGCGCAAGTGTGCGATGTCAATTTAAGTGTATAAGGTGTGAGGGCGTCAGGGGCAGGTCCGCGGCGGGGCCACCCTCTCTCTCCTCTACATTGCTACGTTACTATACTGCCTCTATTGTACATATATATTCTACATATATACATATTATATTCTATATATATATCTATACATATACATGGACGTACCACTGTTTATATGAGAAGCGGAAGGAACGAAAGCGAAAAAATAAGAAATATACATATATATATATATATACACATGACGTAAACCTATATATATATATATATATATTCATACATATATATATACATACATATATATATATATATATATGAAGAAAGAACACATATACCTGGTATTACAAGGTTCTTGCGTTTTTTGGTGCCATCTTTTTCTTGCTCTCACGTATGGTTCTCTCTTCTCTCTTGACCTTTTCCAGTACCCCCTATTATTGAGCCATTTACGTTCCAAGAGGGACTATCCGAGGGGATGCGGACGCGGACGGTGTGCGGGGTCGCGGCGGGAGATCCACCCCTAACCATATCCTGGCTAAAAGACGGCCAAAATCCTTTTCCCTTGCCGCCGAATCTGGCCTCCGTCGCAAACGTCTCCCAACTGGATCCCTACTCGAGCCTCCTCAGTATAACGAACCTCGCGGCCGAGCACTCCGGCGACTATACCTGCGTCGCCGCGAACCCCGCCGCCGAGGTCAGGTACACGGCCAAGCTACAGGTAAAAGGTAACTAGATGATCGCCAACCCTTGTCCTAGCGTTCCTAATAATTGCCTTGTCGATCTCACAATTGTTTCATCCCCGATTTAAAAGTTAAATTGTTAAATCAATCATTAAATTATTAAAAATCTCTTTTCCAAATTTATAGAAATCTTACATTCTATAAAATTGTTTATATGTATCAGATTTTTTTTTGATATCTATACAAATATTTGAGCGTTATTTTAAAAACCGTAAAAGATACATATAAAAAAATATAATATATATACACACAATTTATGTAAAATAATTTTACGCAAATTTAAATTACGAAACACAAGTTTACATATGTCGAGAAAAGTTGATAAATGAATTTTCAATAATTTTGTATTTAGATATTTATAACAAGACACGAAGTTTCGAGATTTCGGGATCGAACGTCACCCTACAACATCCATTCCACAACTCCTTGTCAACCGCTCTCCAATCTCAGTCACCATCGATTTCATCATCCATCGCCATCGACATATCACCGCGCTTATTGACTCGGTTCCCGCTTCACCATAGCTCATCATAGCTGTGTTCTCGCCAGGATGTGACATTTAGAGAGACTGTAGTCCACGTTTGCCACGGCTTAAAGACGATACCACCGTAATTCCGAATAACAGCATATTCACCCCCGGGCGAGATCACGATCGTTACGCACCTACCAACCCTTTCCTCCTCCTCCTCCCCCCTCTCTCTCTCTTCTACCTCGTTCCTTGACCTAAACAAATTTATCCTAGTAATCCATTCGAAATCTTCCTTCTTAACCCAGACACAGTGTGTATTACATTTGCGTTGCTTTGGCTCTCTGGGAATGCGTCGGTATCTCGTGGACCCCCGAGGTTTGCTTGACTTGACCGAATAATAAAGGTAACAGTTTGCACCTTTCCTTATTTTTTACTCGTTTCTACAAACAACTACAACAACAACAGCAACAACTGCAGCTACAATAAATAAAAATGAAAAAGATTTTTTCTGGCCTGAGATGCGTGCGTGCGTGTGAGCATTGACACTTCATTCGGCATGATCTCTCTTTACGTAGCCGTAGATCACTCTGCCTGCACATTTTACGTGTAAATATATATTATATCTTTCTCTCTCTCTCTCTCTTTCTGTATATGTGTATGTTTATAACATTATATTTAATTATCTATATATATCAAGTATCTTGATCACCCGAGTGCGAGCACGTGCCACTACGCTCACGACCAATCTTCACCGACCTTTGCGCTGGCTCTTCTTTGGGCTCGTTGGAAGACAACCTTTATTCACTTTTGCATGTTTACTCACCATCTCGATCTATCTTTCTCTCGCTCTCTCTCTCTCTTTCTCTCTATCTCTCCTCTTTCTGTCTGTCTTTCTTTCTCATTTTCATATTTCTTTCGTCGCAACGGGACGAGAATGTCGAATGCTCGCATTTGCAAGCTCTCTTTCGCGTAAAAATAAACAAATGATTCGGCGAGAGTAATAAAAAGATTTTTAATTAACCGAGAGAGATTAATACAGTCTTAAGTTTTCAAGGATTTAAAAGAATTCTCTCGAGCGTGCATTCTCTGCTTCGTTAGCGACTGGGTAATGTAGGCTAGTAGTACGTATATTATTAATTAAATTCGTACTTTATTGAACTAGTCGTTAGACGCGGGTACTTATATATACATATATATTGTTATTATTATTATTGTTATCATTATTATTATTATTCGCCTCCTTCACGAGGTCCGCACCCAAACACGTCCCGCCCTTGCGTACCACTTTCCAAGAGTTCTACTTGTTTCACACGCCATCGTTTGGGCTCGAGTATATATATTTGTATACTCACGTTACATATATATTATATACATATATACGTCTATATATCTATCTATCTATCTATATATATATATATTGTCGCACGCGATCGATGCGTGGCCGATATTTTGCCGTCTTGTAAAACGTTGGAAACTCCCACTCACAGTATCTCGCTTATGCAGCGTTTTTTATCACCACAGTAAGAAGTAGAACCTTGCCAAACAATACACCTAATCGTACAAAAACCAACCCCTACGAGACTTTGTCGACAAATCGATGCGCGACGCAAAATCTTGCGCCTGGTCGAGAAACTTTGACGATCAAGCATCCGTCTTACTTTTTTCCTTTTTTTTTTTACGAGCTAAGAGCTGTATACGTAACCATTGTATCGCGCGCTATCATAGAAACGCCTTCGTTTCGTTGTCCTTGTTGGTAGCTCCTAGGAGAGTTAACGTTGCAGATAATAGATGATCGATTGCCCCTGTCCCTTGTCACTTTCCTTGTTACCCTGTTGCCGTGTTGAACATAGAGGTGAATTGTCTGCTGCTGCCTGGCGTGCGAATGACACGAGACTTTATATATATCTATATATATATCAATTGACACCCGCGAAATACGCCTCGCATCGATTCATGAAACCCTTGATTCTCCAACTCTGCCCCACCCACATACTTACCTTCATTCTCTCACTCTATCTCTCTCTCTCTCTCTCTCTCTCTCTCTCTCTCTCTCTCTCTCTATCAAGTATCTTTATCAGTTTCTTCATCATGCAAATAGCCGCGTACGTCGCGTCAAAAAACACGGAAATTCGAGAACTGCAAAAGTCGAACTGAACGAAAGTAGCGTATATATTTCAAAAGAAAGATCAAAAGAACATTCTAGAGCTTCACACGCGAGACTGTTTCTCTCTGTGTGTTTCATCTCTCTTTTTCTCTCTTACTCTCTTTCATGTCTATTTTATCGGTTCGTTTGAGATTCAATCTCTTTGACGACGCGTAGAGTCGCGCAGAGTCGCTTGCACAAGCGACACGAGCTCACGTAGCTCCCTTTCGTTCGCGCTTTTTTACAATTTTCCATCTATCATGAAAAACGTACCTGTCTCTAAATCGCTAACGACCAGTAAAGCAAGGCATAATAAGTTGAAAATTGGCGCCCTTGACGGATTCGTGTAAAGCGGTTTTCTCTGACGTTGCAGTGCCACCCAGATGGATCGTCGAGCCCATCGACGTCAGCGTCGAGAGGAATCGCCACGTTGCCTTGCACTGTCAAGCGCAGGGCGTCCCGACGCCGACGATTGTTTGGAAGAAAGCCACCGGTGAGGGAAAGCAATAAAGCTATCTTTTATACAAATTTTTTTCCGCATGATATTCATCACAGTTGAAAAATTTGGGTTTTCTTGTTAAAAACGGTCCCCGTTAAAATTTTTGTGTTCAATATTTAACACACATTCATGTGTTAATTTGACATATTGCTGTTGTGTTAATTGAACTCAAATGTTGAATTATTAAAGCAACTGAAAAAAGTGTCAAGATAACACAATGCGCATCTAATTTTAATTTTACACAATACATATATTCTGTATTATTAGTGACAAGATTCTGTTAAATTCACAGACAGAAAAATGTTGACTTTATTTTATAATACAAGTGAAGATGATAAAATATAAAATTAACATTTTTTTAATTTAATTTCTACATTAAAACTATGTTAATTTTACATAAAATTTATTTTAAGTTTACTTGAAATTTGCATTTATTTTATGTTAAAACATTAACATAGTTCGTGTCACCATTTAACATATCCGTATTATGTTAAATTAACATAGAAATTTCTGTGGACCGTTTGGGACTTGTGATATTTGTTAAATTTAACAAATTTTTTAACTGTGCAGTTACTTGAAATAAAAAACTGTCCTCTAAAATAAAGGATAGTCACCGTAGCTATGTATATCTCTGCATATGGAAACTTGTTAAAATGAATTAATTTAATTTTATTTTTCTGAATATTTCCCATGTGTCAAATTGTCATTTTTTTTTTTTTTTTTTTTTTTTTTTTGAAGTTTAAAGTGTATGACGAGATATTTTTACACGTATGAAATATTAATTGACTTTTTTATACGGTGCATTTTTTAACAGGAAGCAAAGCTGGTGACTACGAGGAGTTGCGTGAAAGAACGTATACTAAAATTCTCAGCAACGGCACGCTATTGCTGCAACATGTGAAAGAAGACAGAGAAGGTTTCTATCTGTGCCACGCGAGCAACGGCATAGGAAGTGGACTAGGCAAGGTCGTCCAATTAAAAGTCAATTGTGAGTAAAAAAATGTTTAAAAAGAATGACATTTTTTGAAAATAAATTTTGAATAGCGTGATATAAATAATGCTCAAGCAAAGCCTCTATCTGCGTTTATCTTACTATTCAGATTTACCATTCTGCTTTTCTGCGTGTTGCTTTGCGGTTTTATAGCATCTCCGTATTTCGCGGCGCCGTCGCGGCTCGTAACCGTAAAGAAGGGAGACACGGCGACGTTACACTGTGAGGTACACGGCGATAAGCCGGTTACAGTTACCTGGTTGAAAGGCGGCAAAAGCGAGCTTAATCCGTCGACGAATTACCGGTAAGTTGAGATTAACTGTACCTATATAGTGGTATATATATATAATCATCAAGGAGTTCGCCTGGGAACGCGATAAATCGATACGCGATGAATTAACTAAAACGTACGCGGCGCAAAATTTTCACCTTGCTACGAATCTCTCGTGAAATTATCGTGTCTCGTTCAGTGTGCCACGTTTATTGCGAACCGCGCGTTATTCTCGATAAATCGATCGCGTCGAGCGGAATTTAACAAATGAAATATGACGTATTAATAATGCATAACCGGGCTGATAATAGAAAAGGCACGTGAAGTGTATCCATCCACTTGAAAAATGCAGGAGCGCCATATATCCAATTGAAAGGGTCAAATATAATCCGTTTATCCGTTTATTAAGGGAATAGCGAAATGCGTTGTTCAAAGGGATGAGTTGTAAAATATTAGAGTGTGTCACTTCTATATGATGCGATGGCATATGAATATTTCATAGTTGTCTATCTCACACAGAGCTTTTAATGGACTTTTATAAATTTGCTGTAAAGCGTCACGGTGAAGCAGGAAGTAACACCGGATGGTATCATTGCGCAATTGCAAATCTCGTCGGCGGAAGCCGCCGACAGCGGTGCGTATTTTTGCCAGGCGAACAATCTTTACGGCCGCGATCAGCAGCTGGTGCAACTCCTCGTCCAAGGTACGATATATGGTTTTGTAGGTCAATTCCGTTCTGATATAGAATATAATTGAATTCCAAATGTAATACTCTTGCGCTATGCGCATATATATCGACACATGAGTGCATTAATATCGAATTCCGCACGTTTTAGAGCCACCACAACCGCCGAACGCCCTAGAAACTGCCATGGTGGCGAGTCGTAGCATTAACGTTAAGTGGCAACATAAGTCGCAGGACACTAGCGAGGTCACTAAGTACATTCTTCAGTACAAAGAGGGCGAAGGTAAATTATTTTATCCACGTGAAATAGGATATGATATAATATGTAAAATTTAATTTTAGTAACCATTTTACATTTTGTTAGAAATTATTATGTTGGAAAAAAATAATCGTGACATCAATAAATATAATTTTATCTGTCGTCCTTATACCTCGTCCTTGTATTCTTTCAATATATATTTCTCTAAAATTGATCTCTTATTTTGATCATCTGGCATAAGAACTTATATTTTCTCCAATTTATCATCTTTAAGATGTAGCTAAGTAAAATATTCAAATCCAAACTGCTAGGCGGAATGTGGCAGCAACAAGAGTTTACCGGACCACCATTGCCATATGCTGCATTAATCGATGACCTGAAACCAGCCACGAGATATACCGTACGCGTAATAGCGGAAGGTCCAGCGGGTCGATCTGTCCCTTCGGCGGAACTTGTTGTCAGGACTGAACCACAAAGACCAGCTGGTCCGCCGATGAATCTCGCAGCGAGAGCTCTTTCCTCGTCTGAGATTCTTGTCACTTGGTCACCGCCGTTGTCGGAACTTCGTCACGGTGACATACAAGGTTTCAACGTTGGTTACAAAGAGACTAGGTAACTGTTTGTTTGAGAAAATTTATCAAATAAATTATAGATATAAATTTTCAAAGAATTGTGAATAAGTATCCTTGGAAGAGAATGAGCAGCATATTTTTATTTCAGCTCAAACAATCCATCGTACAACTTCAGCTCCGTATCGGGTGACGGAGAGGAAGGTGGCGGAGAACTTCGACTTACAGGTCTCAGGCCTTACACTAGATACACCATAGTTGTTCAAGCTTACAATCAGGTTGGACCGGGACCTTTGTGCGAACCATTGCTTACGCAGACGCTGGAAGACGGTGATTGTTATAAATTTCTTGAAAAATTTTTATTCATTTTTATTATTTTTTTTCTTGACTATATTATTTCTGAGATGAATTTTGACAATTGCTTAGAAACGATTGCTTGTAGTTCCCAGCATGCCACCAGACGATGTAAGATGCGCGGCGCTCACTTCTCAATCTTTGCAAGTGTCTTGGCAACCTCCGCCCAACACGCACAGCAACGGCATTATTCAAGGTTACAAATTAAATTATGAACCAATTTTGGCGGATGCGTGGCGAGGAGTGGATGAGATGGAGGTGATTATTTCTTTTACCTTAATTATTTGTTTCTCATATGTTCTCCTAATTGTAATTGATTAATTGATTTCATGATTAGGTTCGTAAGACGAGCGCTCTAACGACAGTTCTGACTGGACTTAGGCGATACACTAATTACACCATCCAAGTTTTGGCTTACACGAGAATCGGCGATGGCATATCTTCCACAACAATTTATTGTCAAACAGAGGAAGACGGTGATTTACTTGACATTTCAAAATAATCTCTTTTAAAACTCTAATTAATATTTTTCTCTCGTTTTTCATTTAGTGCCAGGCAGTCCGGCTGATATCAAAGTTGTCGTAAGCTCGCCGCAAGCTCTCTTCATCTCATGGCTACCTCCACTTGAACCGAATGGAGCGATTACGAAATACAATCTTTATACAAGGTAAAAATAAAATAAAATTTATGTTGCCATCTGTCTATTAATTTTCTTATTTAATATCTCGTATAATCAAGTTTTATCAAGTTTACAAAGATAATAAGAAAAATTCTTCAGAGTCGTTGACGGACGCGAAGAACTCAATCACGGCAAGAAGACGTTACCGGCCACGAGCACATATTTCGAGGCGACCGATCTGCAACAACACGTGGAGTATCAATTTTGGGTAACCGGTAGTACCCGGATGGGCGAAGGTCAGAGTTCGAGGGTGGCGGCGCAGGTGCCGACGAATCGAGTGCCAGCCAGGATCACGTCTTTCGGCGGGCACGTGGTGCGTCCGTGGCGGGGTTCGGCTACTTTGACGTGTAACGCGGTCGGGGATCCGACGAGGGAATGGTACAAGGGTACCACGGAGCAGATGCGCACCGATTCTGCCAGAAACATGCAGATCTTGACGACCGGAGAGCTTGTCTTGTCGAATCTTCAGTCGCAGGACAGCGGAAATTATACCTGTCAGGTGGAGAACTCGCAAGGCAGCGACAAACTGCATTACACTCTCACGGTGCAAGGTAATTTTTTTATGATTTATTTTTTTGTCTACTTTTATTCTTATATCTTAATCTTATACCTAATAGAATCAGCAACAGTACATATATCAGAAGAGTACCTATATTATATACAATATAATTAATATTAAAACATTATTTATATCTATCTCTATTCGATGTTATTAAATATAGGAATATAATGTTATTATGATGAGATTATAATGTTACTACATGATTACGATGCCAATATTCTGCTAAATAGATTTTAATAATAGCTGATCGGGCGCGCTAAATCGATTTACTACATAGATTCTAATTTAGCGACTATAGCAGAATATTAATGCAGTCTAGAATAACATCGAATAACCGACTATTGCAGTTCCACCCAGCGCTCCCGTATTATACGTAACCAGTTCTACGTCGAGTAGTGTATTATTGCATTGGAAATCCGAACACAACGGTGGTGCGCCGTTGACGGGCTACACGCTATATTATCGAACTACTCACGGTACCCTTGATGAGTTACAATTATCTCGCCACGCTACCAACCACGAATTGAAGGTAAACTTGCCCGAAATTAGGGAATATATCAATATTTGGAATATTAGTGAAATTAATAAGTATTAAAGCATGATTATTAGCATATTAATTGATACATGTTTAAAGTAATTGCCACTGAAATCTCTAAAGTAGAAATTAAAATTAAATTGATCGAAAACAACAATTGCAATTTCTTAACAGGGGCTCCTGTGCGGGAACACGTATCAGTTGTATCTGACGTCGCACAATAAGATCGGCAGTAGTCCATCATCCCGGTGCTCTCGGTTCGAACTCAAGGTCAAGCTCCGGGTATCCCACCAGCGGCCGCCTTTCTCAGTCCGAACTCCACTACTTTGGTGCTACGATTGCACGTTTGGCCCGATAACGGATGTCCCATAAAATATTTTATTATTCAATATAGACCTATAAATGAGTTTCACTGGACTCTGGTGTCGAATAACGTCAAGATGCAACGACGTTTCGTTGTGACGAACTTAACACCCAGCTCGGTCTATCAGCTCAAGATCGAAGCCCACAACGTGGCCGGTAGTAATCAAGCAGAGTTTACGTTCGTGACGTTGACGAAGGAAGGTGGTAAGTTTGAAAATATATTTAGATTGAAATAATATATGACACAAAAATATAAGAGTTACGCAATTTTCATTAATTAAAAAAAAATTATAGTCAAGAATGTATATCTATGCCATCCGATAATGCTATGTTTAAACACATATATCCAAAAACTGTGTTCCTGTAACTTTGCAGAATCACCGCCTCCAGAACTGTCAAAGCGCGGGATGACGTCGGTTATGCCGTTTTATGCGGATGTTAAAGTGATCCTTCCGTTAATCGTGGCTACTATCGCGTTGGTCGCCGCAGCAATAATCGTCGCCTTTCGTTGGAAGAATAGTGAGTCTGGTTTTAAATTTCTCTTATTTTATAAAATAATTTTTGTTACTTAAAAAGTAGTTAATTTAAATTTTAGTTTTCATATCTAATTTTTGAATGCTGTACTCTAAATATATATCTGCAAATATTTTTTTAATATATGAAAAAAATAATGCTGAAAGCGATTAATATAAAAATACGTTTGCCAGGATATTTAGGGGGTCAAGTGCAACGGCCGATGAAGGAATCGCAAGAGAATCAACAAAATGCCGAAACGCAACGAGAGCGTTACTATGCCACGATACACAAAGTGGCTCTGCAACAAGCGGCGAATACGGGGGCTGGGCCCGACAAGATTCCAGGTGAACCTTTGTTTCGATCTGGACAACTGCCAGGTTTGGTACTATAATTTTGTTGCACAGGTAAAAGTCGGCCGCCTTAGCGCCGCTCAATGGAAAAAAAATTGCCTAAAAAATGAAGCTGCAAAGAAGACAGGAATTATATGTATACATATATTCGCGTGAAAAATAGAATATAAAAAAAAATAAATTTAAATTAAAAAAGACCTTTTAAATTCTTTAAAAAAATTTGAAGAATCTAAAAAAAATATTTACTGAATGTGTTTTTAAGAAATAATAATCGAACGAAAAGTCGAAGCAAATTTTTACGCTTCGCACGAAAGGAATGGACGACTGAAACATTTAGCCCGACGCGATTTGAAAGGTAGGCAATGCCTATGATGGGTTACAGAGACAGCGGAGGACATTTCGCCGTACGCTACGTTCCAGCTTTCGGAGGGTGGCGGGGGAAGCCTGGCAGGGTTGGGCGCATTGGGAGGACTGGGAGGCGCGGCGGAGGCCACAGCGGCCGGTCTTCATCCGAACAATACTCTTCTACACAGCTTTATGTATCACGAGCACGCCATGACCGAAGGATGCGCGAGTCCTCCACCGGCAGCAACGGTATACCATGGATTTCTTTCATCACTGAAATATTAATAAATTATCACTGGAAAATATTTAATAAATTAAAATAGCTGAATTTCAAATAAATGACAGATGTAATTTGCGCAGAGCATGAAGAGCGTCTCGTCGAGAAGGCGACAGCAGAGAAAGCAACACACTCCGGGCGATGTCGAGAGCGACGAGAGCGAGTCTGACCCGGATCAGCTGATAAGCTCGCGGACGGAGTCATCGAATCAACTGGACGCTGGCAAATTAAAACATAGTATATATAATTTAAATTCAATTAAGATTTTCTTGACTGGTCGATCGATTCTAACAACATGTTCTTTCAGTTCGCGCGGTTTCGGATTTCATCTATCACGGCACGTCGAGCACCTCCTCGGACATTTCTCCCATGTCCGAACAGAAGTCACTGCCACGAAGGGGGAGATCAAGGTAATAATTAAAATAACCAAGCATAGATCATCATCTCGCTAACCTCATAATTCTTCATATTTTCTACTTTCTCAGAAAATCTCACGCAGTATCAATGTACGTAAAAGTACTCGAATGGTTTTAAGCCTAGTAAATTTATATTTATCTCGTTTGAATCAGATAATCGGTTTTAGTAGCAGCCTGCAAAATTATTACTACACGACAAAATATTGGCACAAATGAATTAAGCACCTGATGCTTAATCGCTCGATCGCTCCTCATCGCTCATTCGCAACATGTAGTAAGTCTCGTCTGTTTCTCTTGGCTATCTCGTAAGATGGCATGTTCCCAGCAGGAGCTCTCTACGCACCCTTCTGCCGCCGATTTCGGTCGCGGAGACCGCGTTCGTCGGCAATCAGGGGGTTGTGCCTATGCCGGGAAACGGGGACCGGCCGGAGCTCAGCGAGGCCGAGTGCGACATTGATTCTCTGAAGAAGTTGAAACTTGGCCTGAGGAGCTCCTTGTGGTCACGGCCGAGTACTCAGAACAATCCCTCGTCGGATTACTCCATCGCCGTCTAATCTGTACCACGGTATCACTCTCTTCCATTGTAGGGACACCCTTCTTCTTCCTTACCCTACTTCCTTTCTCAACCCCTTGGTCCAAAGATTAGGTAAATTGATCTTTCCTTCTCATTTCTCTCGTCGAGATTTCCCTTGTGGTTACTGGTAGAACTACTCGACTGCCACGAGCACATTTCTCTCTGTCGATAGATAAATTGCATTCTACTCGTTAACGACGATTAATAGGGAGAGGCGTGCATAAATAAGATTGTAAAGAAGATTAAAGCAACGAGGTGGACGAATATAGAAGAACAGAGCTGAATAAAAAGCAAAGATCATTTCTTGACATATTAAAAGAAGCTCTCTTAAACTACCCTACAGTGTTTTTAAACTAATATCTCTCATAAATATAATTCATAATTTATAAAAAAGATTTTATATTTCTCGCAGATATTATATCAGCTTTTCTAACATTTAATTAATAATATACAGCTATATGACAGAAAGTCATGCGAAACTATAGAACTGTGCTTCTATAAATGTGTTCCCTCGTTGATCGAGTCGAGAAAAATTAGTCGAAAGTATCTAAAAGTGCGTGCGTCTCCTCTTCCTTGTCCGTGACGCGACGCGTAAAATGGAGTGCATAGATTGCGTGAATGAGTCCGAGTCCGAGTGCGTGGATGATTGTCGAATCGCGTGTGCGAATGCGTGCCAAAACGACAATTTGCTCAGACCGCTGCGAGTTGTTCGCCAGCGGACGATCCATTCGAGACCAAAGACTTAATCGTATGAACAGAGCACAGAAGAATCCCTCGCGCATCGTGAACAAGTACAGTGGCAGGCTACATTTGCTTCTGTTTCGAGCTAACATTTATCAAAAAAAAAATCTTTCTTTATTTGCGTATAATTTATCGTGTTAATTTTATGCCACTTTTCGTATTCGTATCTCTTTACATTTTTCTAATAACTTCTAATTATGATATATAATATTGATTGCTACACGTTTTATTTCTTTTTTCTTTCTCTCTATTTTTATTAATATTTATTTATCATTTAATTTAGTTTCATTATCCGAATAAATACTCTAGATAAATTAATTTTATCTGTATTAACATTTGAAAAAAAATTTCTTCTCTTTCCCGTAAATATATAAAAGAATTTGAAGCTACTTTGAAAATAATAAACGCCTATATTTGGTACGCGCGTGTTATTTTAAGGATCGGGATGAGATATATGAATGAATCGAGGAAGAGAGAAGACATCGACTTCCAAGTCTCCAAGACGGAGATCGTTGATGGTGGTTGGGCTCTGTTGCGTTGTAAAGTTTATACGTATTAATAATAGCACCGTTGATTACTTTAAGTCCGTTATTAATCCTAAGACTTCTATGTAGAATGTTTTTTCTGTGCGCGGAGCGCGATATACATACGATCAGGCGCGAATATACTGATCCCAGCGATCTCGTTTTTCCTCAAAAGGCGCTTCAAAGAAGGAGAGTCGTCTCTCTCTCCTTCAAGAAATCTCTCTTCTAATGTCGCGCACCTCGAGACCCCGTGTGATCCGACGCGACCAATCTTACTAATTAATGCAATAAGTCGTACCAGTACACCTCCTTTTCAGACTGAACACGAAAGTACTTAATAAAAAAAATTGCCGTTAGAATTAATTAAACGCGCGCATCCTACTGCGTCGCGAACTTCCAATACTTCCACAACACTGCCATTCCGCGGACTATATACTATGTATAAAAAATGAGATAATATTGAGATCGCTTTACACAACTTTGAGAAAAAGAAAAGAGACGTTTTTTGTAACTTTTACCGAGATCCAAGTGACGGAGCAATTGTTGATCTTCTTCCTTCCTTCTCCAAGCCGTCACTCTACATAGTTAAGTATACCATACGGTGTGTTTTATATTCGGACTTCTCTCTGTGATGGCGCACGTACTTCCATTGACCTAGTTTATTTAAGCGCGAAGACTGTTCCGAATTTATTGTACATCTCTGTACACGTCGACGATAACTTTGATCTTACGAAAGAAAAAAAAACAATTTAGGAAACGTTAAGAAATTCTAGTCTCACATGCCAGAATATTGTAAGCGACATTTTAAAAAATATATTTCACAGATTTATCGTAAATTAATATCGGTAAACTTAAGGAAAACTGTGTGCGCGACACTACGAAGACGAGAGGCCGTAGATATACGTATATAAATTACATATGTTGAGTACACGGGCATCAAGGCGCGTGCATACAAAAGCATGTATGACGCGTAAAGTTAATGTATATAAGGGAAGCACGTCAATCAAACTTGTAGTATTCGATTAAATCGCGATTAAGACGATTTTCGAAGAAGAGACAAAGTTCGTCGTGGTATGGTTGCGAGACGCGTTTTCGTCGACACCATTTTTGTACATTTTTCTTGCATCATGGACCGACCGAGTTCTGTCAATCTCTTCTCGTAGTCTTTTATGGGGACCAGTTCTTTTCATTATGATATAAGGAACTGATGAACAATTTTCTACAATCAACGATTTCGAGGAAAATTCAATCAACGAATTTTTTACAAAAATATAATCTGAATTAGATGATCTTTCTAATGATCTGATTACATCTGATACATTAAGGTCTCGATTGTGATAAGGTATTTTTATTCGCGAATGATTATACGGTCCTCGAAGGATGATGCAGTGACATAACTCGGTGCATCCCTCGTCGCTCTTTGCGATAATCCGTGCAGCTTGGAGAATGCACTTTAATTGTTGTTTCGATATGAATGGGGGCGAGTGAATAAATCAAACGGATAATTGTTATTATAACTACGATTAAAGTCGTTGTAGAAAAAGAAAGCGTACCGGCGCGATGCGAGAGACATCGCGAGAGTCTCATATTGTCAGTGAAATAAAAAAGCTCGCAAGTTTTCTCTCCGTTCTGCGATCGGAGGTTGTACGATTTAAAAAAAAAAACGAATTGTGCGATTAAATTTAAACTGTATTAAATCTGTGGTACGGCATTTTGATGCATTGTGTCGATCGTAGAATCGATTAAATAAATTGATATCGTGTAAAGTATCAGAGTGGATTTTTTCTAGTCGAACCTGGAATGCAAATAATTCGATAGACAGTTAGTATTGCGATTATATTTATATTTACGTAATGCAAACTCGATTAGAAGTAATCGATTTAACATTTGATGGAACAATTTATTTCAATATCCTGTTAGCTCCGAAAACGTAGAGTCAAGATCGTTGCAGATGAATTTGTACTTTTCCTTTTCTTTTGATAGGTGTTCTAAAAATGGAGACCATAATTTTTTTATTAATAACAATTGGTATTTGACAAGTTTGAAAAATCGAGAATATAATATTACCTTCTCTCTTGTCCATTTCTTTCGTGAATATTTTGACAGTTTTCTCGGCCATTATAGCACGTTTTTCTGCAACTTTTAGTTTCACTTTTAACTCCTTCAGTTGGGTTTTAAACTCTTCCACCCTTTGATTAGCCTGCAATAAATAGTTTCTCTTCTTGATTTTTTAAATATAAAAAGAAATAAAATATAGAAAATATTGTTACTTTTTCTTCAGACACTTCTAAGGACTTTAGTATATTGCCGACAATGAATAACTCGTCCTCTCTCTCTAGAATTTTTCTGAAATGCATTATTATACATTAATATATGTTATAAGATTTTTTTAAATTACATATTTTGTATTAAAAAAAACTTGCGAGAATTTAAATTGTTCCCATTTAAGCAAACTAAAAATAGAATGCGAATGAATTCAGCCGAAAAGAATGCAGCCTTTATATTTAGAGAATTGTATGCGATACGTACGCCTCGCTTGATTTAACCCTTTCTTCTGCCGTTTCGAGCTCGTCCTCGACAAAGGCCAATTTTCTTGAAATTTCGTCAGATTTAGTGTCAGCGTCTTCAGCAATGAGTCTCGCTTCCTTCAATTGCGTCATCAATTGGTCCATTCTCTCTTCGTCCTGCTTACTTCTATTCTCCAGGACTTTACAGATGCTGAATTATAAAAAAATCACTTTACTATTATAACTCATAATTTTTTTTACAAGAAACGGTGATGGTACTGATAAAAATTTAACGCTTATAGTGATATAAATTTCATAGGTATAACTTTACAAGATAAATTCACAAGATAAAAAATTAAAAATATTTTAGGAAAGTATAATCTACAGTAATTATGTATTGTATAATAAATTTTATATAAAAATAAATGTATATGCATACCGCTTTGCATCCTCCGCAGTTTCCATAGCTTGCGTAAGCTTCGTTTGAGCCGACAAACGTCGTTCTTCAGATTTTTCTAGATTCTGCATACACTGTTGCATTTTTCTATTCAACACAGCCAATTCCGATTGTGTCTGCAATTTTACAATTGATGAAAGGTAAATCGAATTTAGAACGCATAATATATTTTTCTGATTCACTAACCACGATATAGATTCTCTCCTTCATCTCGAGGTTCCTGTTTGATTTTATTAGCTGAGTCTTGCTCACTTTTAGATCATATTCCATTTGTATCAATTTTTTCGCCAATTCGCGAACTTCGTCTTTTAGTTTTTCTTCCTTCCGATTTGCTTCCTTCGCCTGCTGGTCGCACAGATCAGCTTTGTCCATCGCGAGATCTTTCTCTAGCTTTAGCATCTGCAGTCGTTTCTTAATGGCATTCATGGCTTCGTTGGAAGCTAATTAAAAATATTTTTTTAAACTAATCAAAATTATGTTACTTCAATATTTTTAGTATAAATTGTAGAACCTTTAAGCAGAGCTTAGCAATTATCGCAATAAATCACGGAAAATTAACGAACTAATTAATTATCAATCAACTAAACGTTTATTACACAAAAACTACTTTTTAATAATTTTTGATATCTTTAGTCTGTGCTGTTAATTTTATGTTAATCAATCTTAAATGTCCGGCTGAGAATATTTTTTGAATGGAGATGCACACTTTAAACAGGACACTTTTACTTTAAAATATTTTTTCTTGTTGCAAATAAAAAATGATAATCTTTGATTTAATATAATTCGCACTCTGCTAAATAAAAATTTAAATTACTGTAAAAGCTAACGAAGTATCAAATGCGATGTGCTCGCGGGTTACTGTACTCGTTGACCGATGAGGACATGCTTTATAGGCTCAATGCAATGCAAAAGAACAAAAGCGATTGCTACTTTAGTTAGGCTCAAACGAATTCTTGGACTTCTTAAAGTAATGTACTTTGTTGTGTCGATTGTCGCTGCCAATCGCAAATACATCGATACTAAAACATCTATTTTAAGTTTAATATAAATAATAATTTTACTGTTATATATATATTCAATAATTATCACATTCTAAAATCTCATAATAAATAATATATATATATTGCAATTTAACATATGTATGCTCTTTCTTTGTATTCTTATAGAATCAATTATATTTTCAACATAATAAACGTTATAGTTTAATTCTCACCTCACAGTTACTATATTTTTTATTTATTATAAATAATATATATAATACAATAAAGAATCATATGATTAATATTAACATATATGCTAAAAAAATAAAACATTAAACATTATTTATTCTTTCCATTATTTTAGTCATCTTTTGAATCATTCGTTTTATATATATATATATATATATATATATATATATATATAAAATTAAAATATTATAAATAAAAGATAGAAGGGATAATTTGTAAGTATCTCCATCGTCTCAGAATAATTTATGATATCATTTATTGAAAATACAGATTTTATGTAGAATGATAGAAAGGATACGCAATATCATCAATTTTCATTCACGCGTAATGGACGAAAATAATTCCCTCCAACGCCTCTGAAAGAAAAAAATAGATAAAATCATCAATCTTCAATCGACACAGACTATGAGCGACCATGAACCAGTTGGCAAGGCATTGCACAAAGCGAAGCAATTATAATAGCAAACGATATTGGTATGCCTTATTTATATCAGTGGATTATTGTACGAAACAGATTATCTCTAATTATTTCGCTTATGGCAATTTAAATGATAAAATAAATCAATGTTGCGCAATATTTTTTAAGCCTAGCGGATCAAAATAATGAGATGTTTATGTTATGATGATAACGAGTAAACGAAAAAAGCATAAGAGTAACAGCGAAAATCAAAATCAAGTTCGTTCGCAGAATTTTAATATCCTGTCATCTCGGCGAACGTCGCATCCATATCATCGCAGACTGCCTTGTATTTTTCCTTCTCTTCCCTAAGCTCATCTGAAAATAAATAGTAATTTGCCGTCAATTAAAATTATATCTTTTAGAATTAATTTTTAATGAATCTTTAGGAATAGGATACTTCTTCGTACCTTCCTTCATGTCTACTTCCTTTAATAAGGTCTTGACCGTTCTTTCGGCATTGATCGCGCGCTTCTCCGCCTCCTTCAGTTTCTTCTTCAAGGATTTCAATTGTACTTTAAAATCTTTTACTCGTTGATTCGCCTGAAATTAAAGTAATCTAGATGTGATATAATGCAGTGTAAAAAATAATTCTCGCAGCGTATTATGCTAATACTACCTTCTCCTCAGATACTTCGAGAGACTTCACGATATTTTGTACGATGAAGAGTTCATCCTCGCGTTCTATAATTTTGCTATAAAGAATTTTTTCAATGTGAGATAATATTTATTTATTGTACGGATATGTAATGCAAATTTTAATTTGTATACTTACGCTTCGCTAGTTTTTACTCTCTCTTCAGCAGCTTCTAATTCCTCTTCCACAAACTGCAATTTCTTAGCTATTTCATCGGATTTCGAATCAGCGTCTTCAGCAATCAATCTAACATCCTTCAGCTCTGACATTAATTTTTCCGTCCGTTCTTCGTCCAAACGACTTCGCTCCGTCAGGACGTTACACATTCTGTAAGTAAGAGGAAAGAAAAGTAATGTTGTTTTATTGAATACTACTGTACGATATATTATTTCAATTTACATTGACCAAATTTTACAATTGTAATGCATAATTTAAATTTAAAATTAAAATTTACAATAATTATGAACCTTTGCGCATCATCGGCGAGTTCAGTTGCACGTGCCAGTTTTGTCTGAGCGGAAAGACGTAATTCCTCTTTTTGTGAAGAGTGGCTTCGATCTCCTGTACTTTCTTCGTCAAAATAGTACGATCTTGTTCTGCCTGTAAATATATTCTTATATAATAATTTTGTTATATTATTATAGAAAATTATATGTTCTTCTCAAAAATATCATGACAAGTTTGTAAAAAATCTGTTTATCTTTTTCTTGAGCGCTCTAATTTAGAAAAATCATTAATATTAATTATATTATTACATACTTTGGACCAAGATTTTTCGCACTGCTCCAGATCGGCGGTCGACTGTTCCAAGTTAGTTTTTGTGACACTGTAATCGCGTTCCAATTGGCTCAATCTTTTCTGTAGATCCCTAAGATCATCGTTTAGCCTGTCGGCTCTTATATCCTCTTGTTTCGCTTTCGTTTCATTAACTTCGACCTTTTCATTCGCAGCATCCATCTCCATCTTCAGTGCCGCGATTTTCTTCTTAATCGCCTCCATCGTGATGCGCGATACTTTCGAGCCTTTCCCTTATTAATTATCTTAATCGATCTCACGAGACTACAATGTGACTATAGATAAGCTAAAAGTGAGAGATAAAAAGCATCTTGACAATTATACGATCAATCTACAAATCGTGTCCTTAATTTAAATATGAATAAAAAAATTGTCGCTTTAATAATTAAAAAAAATATTTTTTTAATTGATAAATAGAATCCGCATCTTATAAATATAACGATAAAGACTAATCATCTTGACAATTATGCGACAATTATGTTGACAATTATCTATAAATCTATAAATCGCGTCTCTAATTTAAGTATGAATAAAAAAATTGCCGCGTTTTAATAATTAAAAAAGTTTTTTTTAATTGATGAGTAGAATCCGCATCTTATAAATATAACAATAAAGAAGGACACTGGATGGTGCAATCAAGAGTCACCTCGTACTACTCACCGAGGTTTCACCCCGTCTCATTTAACGATACAACCTTATTATCACCCTATTAATCGCGCGCGTGCCGAGAGGGGTGAAAGACACCCCTCGATCGGATCGTTTAATAAATTTTGCGCGGTAATGTTGGACGGGCAGAGAAATTCCTACTAAAGGGGGACACTCACTGTGATCGTAACGATGATCCGCGGGGAGAATGCACAACCGGATGCCTTCGACAGCTAAGTTAAAATAAAACGAAATCAAGTCGACGACGGTGTCGGCCGCCTCTTCCCGAACTCCCCGATCCAATCCAATTCTATAATTGCTTGGGGACTTTGGCTGTCGTCCCGAAACTTACCCTCCGGGCTCTCCGCCGATCCTCGTCGTCGTCGCGGCTGTTCGCGAAACGCGATATCCGATCGTTCCCATGCTATTCTCGGTCCTCCCCGAAAAGAATCCCGTTCCTGTTTTTTATCGGCCACGTAATCGATTCCTCGTTGTAAACACTCCGACTCTGTTAATCTTTGCATCGACATTGTAGGCCGTTAATTAAAATGTCAATCGACGTGGACCAGCTTCGAATCTTCCCGCTGGTCAGGCTGAGTTGACGTCAAACGCGGGAGCCTTTGATGAATCTTTTGATGAAATGAGTAATAAAGCTTAAAAGATTCGAGAATTTTAATTGAAGCATTTATTTTTTAATTCAATTTTTAATTTTTTTATAGAGCATTCGAAAGATGAAAACGTAAAGTTTTAGATCTAAATTTAATAAAAGTTCTCATTAAAAAATTATCAAATTAAGAATTGCGAATTTAACTGATTTGTGGAATCAAATGTAAAATTAAAAATTTGTCAATAAAAAATTATAATTGCACACACACAAAGTTGTATAAATAATTAATAATAATAAAAAGACGATTAAATCTAGCGAAAGATATATTTAATAATTTGATTGATTTATTTTTACAACAGTCTCAGATTATATAACGCACAACTTCTTCGTGTAAGCCATGAGATGCTGCGTGTGACAAGAGAGCTACGCGAATGAAATTCTAAGAATGTTTTGATGCAACTTCATTATGTTAATCATAAACATTTTTTAATTGTTATATGCCTATTCTATGAGGTCGATTTTCTGATAGATTTACAAGTATAGATTCGTAAGTAAACTTACATAATTGGAAATTTTATTAACAATAAAAAGTAATGTAGTCCAGTCGTGTTTGGAAAGAGTTAATTTGCGACTGTTAAATCTTTTTCTTCAAAGTATATATATTATATATACCCTTATTAATGTTTGCACATGGCACACAGTAAAGACATCGAATACAATTCAATAGAAATACGGTCGTTCAATCATTGAACGTATATGGACGATATATTCGAAAGTAATAGACTGTGCGAATGGTTATATCACTTTTTTGCGCATATATATGCTTCATAAATATTCCGAAGTATTGAAAAAGCGGTGCATATTGACAGAGTTTTGGCAAGATATAATACATGTATATGTATATATATATATATACATATATATATAAAGATCAGCTTTTCAAGAAAATCGCTCGAAACAATATCATTATCAAATATGATCATATCGCGCATTATAATATGTAAATGCATCACTTCTCTGGCACAATAACTTGATATAACGAGAAAAACGCAAACTGCACAACAAGAAGTTTACTAACACGATATCAATCACAGGGCGCAATTATCAAGAAATAAAAATAAGTATTAAATAGTATAAATTTGCATAATAGTTAATGCAAATCAAAAAACGTATAACAAGATATCGATTTCTGTTTACGATAACACCACAAATATCGATGTATGAATTTAACAAATGCCTTATAGGCTAGTAAGTACAAAGTAAAAAAAATAGAGAAACAGAGAACAGATATAAAATAGTTTAGAAAACATGTCACAGACTCTTTTCAATATCACTCAACTCGAAGTGCAACGCGCGTGATCGATCATTATAAAGTTAAGTTATACATTACGATATATACTTATTTAGTAAATTAACGTACACTTTACATTGGGCGGAGATGAGAAAGACGATGCTTTAAATTCGTCAAACGCGCGGCGTTTCAAGAAAGAAAAAAAATTCAGAAAGTGCTAATACGCCATTGATAAGAGCAACATCGTCATCTGGAAAGATTAGATCCTGTTTCGGAATCGACGGACATCAACAGCACGTAGATTGGCGTATACGTGAGAAGTAGGTGTACGGCGTCTTCGCGATCTAGCGCTCGTAATTGTTGCACTAGCGAACCAACGGTGCATTCTGCACCCGCGCAGTTTAGCAATCTACGGATCAAAATAATTCGAAATAAGAAAATTTGTATTAAGTTGAAATTCACGTTGCATATGGCACAATGTATTTCAGGAATACCTTAGGGTGGGACTGTCCACTGTACTATCCAATTGAGCGACGCGATCCCCTAAACCAAGTCTCACGGCGAGTAAACACCAGTCCCTTCCGTGATGATCAGGCGGATCTAACATCTGCGCCAATCGCCGTTGCACAGCGGGCTTTATATATTTCACGGGTTGCTTCGGTCCGGGAACGTAATTCTCCATCAACGGCAGTCCACAGCCGACTATCTCCCACACTGTTTCTTGTCGGTCGTTCAGAGGATTCTTAAGAGTCGCCTCTTCGAGACTTTTATCGATTAAAGCCGATATGATTGTGGCGGGCGCCCACGAGTGAATTACCTGTAAATGTATCGATTAAAATAGATATAACCAATCTTTTTACTTTATAATAAATAAATTGTGTGTGCGCGCTTTGATCTTTACCGACCTCGTCGTATTCTCGAAGCTGACTAGGACTTAGCCAATGTCTCTCGAGTAACATTCCCGGGGCGACTAATTCAATGGTTGTGTCCATCGCGTCCAAGATCACGCTGAGAAGAGCGAAACATTGCGCACTGGAACCGCGTGGTCCGCGAACTTGGATTTCGACGCAACTATGTTCTTCTTCTTCAAAAGTAATTATGCTTTCGCAAGGTCCAAGACACAGTTTTGATCCTCGCCACCACTGATATAAATCCGAATTCGATGGATCCCATGTTTGAGTAATCTTTCTCAGTTGCGCCTACATATATATATATATTGATTTATTAAGATTTCTATACTATCATATTCTTTAATTATTAATTAAGCATTGATTACCTGTAAATGCGTAAATATCGCTGTCAAATGATATAAAGGCGCTTCTTCTGGACAAAGCCGTAAACCAGTGTGAGGTAATGCATTCGAGCATGGTTTCCATGGTTCCCATAAACCTGGAAGACGTTCTACGAGATTTAAACAGGGTATTTCGTATTCCACTTCGTCGTCATCCACTTCACACTAAAATGATATAGTCAATTGTAATAAGAATAATCGATTGATCAGATCTCTCTTCGAGCATACCGGAACACACAAATTGACCGCTTGTAAAGCTTGCAGAGCTTGAGCAGCGGGACAAGGACATCGCGCTTGAAAATCTTCCAAGGTGTAAACGCCGGTAGTTCGACCGCCCAATCGTCCTCTTTGATCGGGACTCAGTTGCCAATTCAACACATCCTGCCAGAACCACTCGGGACTGAGTACTATCAGGTTGCCAGGCAGAAGAATGCATTCTCCCAAATTCTGTCATTTTACAACAGATTTATAAGTAGAAAAAAGAATACATTTTTTAAATAAATTAAATTATAATTATAAACTACAAACCTGTAATTGTAATCCAAGATGTCTACAATGTTCCAAACAAACTAAAGGATTGATCTTTCGAACTTCGTTCAAAAATTCCTCCTGCGTGAGCATTAACGGAGGCACTTCTAAGGATTGCACGTACGACCTCCATGCTTCGGCGAGACCGGTCCACACTAAGGCGCTCTATAATACATGATTAACATCCATAGTAACGGAATTGTGCACTATCCGGGTAACACATTGATGCAGAAAATATATACAAGAAAGAGAGATAGAAAGAGACTCTTTTCTTTTTTCTTTTCTTTAAAATTAATAATAGTGCATGTATGTATATATGGGAGAAAGCATTAGTGCAACTATTGAACCAAAATACAGAGTTTCAGTTTTATACACATCACTCAGTTAGTTTAAAGGAATTGAGAAGTATTTCGACCTGTTTATCAAGATTCGCCAGGGGCACGTACGTAGCCGCAGCACGCGGCGCGTCACGTCGGAGAATACTTTCTGCAACTTCCGGTCCATCCTACATCATGCATTGCATGCATTAAGGCTGATGTTAATAAACATTAATGGCCAAATAATCAGCAACTAAAACATATGTTCTTAATAAATTCGATTCAGTGATATATATATATATATATATATATATATATATATATATATATATATATATGATATTGAAACGTTTATCGGAAAAGGTGCGCTCAATCAGTCAAACATCGCAAACGATCAAATGTCGTCGAGTCACGACACACAAGGTACTCTCAATGCTTTCAATTATTTGTACATATATATATCAAATCAACCATGCATCATGGATGACAAGAGGAAAATTATTTAAATGAGGAAATCGTCGCATTGCTTTGTGGAAGTCAACGCTTGATTCGATAGCATATTGACACTGCAAATTCCGAGATCGATGAATGAATTGTACAGACAACGTATAGCGTAATGAGGTAGTTCATCATTGAACAGAACCGTTTCACGAAGGATTAATACGCACATTTATTACACATGCTGTACAAATTAGTATATAATTCTTGCGAGAAAGTGATTATTTACATAAGGTGGCGTTAATTACACTTACTTGTATTAAGATTGCAAAAATGAACGGTTCTGCTCGCACATATTTAGTATCAAGCATACTGATATCATGCATTTACTGATATATTTTGGAATGGATTAAAGACATATGAATAGTATTTGATTGTGAAAATAATGTTAAAATTAGAAGAGATTATATAAATTCTCTCATCGCAGACAGGAAAGTTTACTAAATACACAAGATTGCTCGTCAATTTTAATTGCTGAATAAATAAGCAATGATATAAAAGCGATGAGAAAAAGATAACATCTCTTCTAATATTATATATGAAGTATGATAATATTTATACATATCTGTATAGAGAAATACAATCGCTTCACCTCGAGAAATTCCATCCTTGCATTATTTAAGTACGATCTGAGGAGTTTGAGGCCAGGACTAGAGGGATTAGTTGCATCCAGTGCTACCATTTGAGGTTCCTCTCCCAAAATCGACGTAAAATCTTTTAGAAATGGCAACAGCGGTGCGAGTAGATTGCCGCCATTAGAATTCGGGGCTAGAGGTTCCGGCGCATAAGTGCCGACTAAAATTACCTTTACGTCGCTGCATTTGCCGGCAAATCCTTCGATAGAAAAAGTCTTATTTTAAAAGAAGTAATTATAAAAATCAGGAACAAGAAATTTAGCCTCGTTTGCAATAAATCAATTATGATACAAAAAGAAAATTCGAAATGCAATATCTTACCAACGTTACTTGGATTGATACGGTCTAGGATGAACTGGAGCCAGAATTTTATCTGCTGAAGCTGAACAGTCAGCGGCTCTCTCAGACTGACTGTAATAAGATGCACTGCTGGCTGCTGGAACGTAAGTACGTAGTGATAAGACGCCAGAAATTCTTCACGTCCGCATAACTCCCAGAAGACGCACTCGCCACCTAGTTCAATCCGTATAAATATTGTCAAACCTTTTAAAACACTCAAATATATTATATTACATAACTATATAAATATTTAATTCATGCTACGTTATTATTGTAACTCTAAGCCGAGTATTTGAATATGATTCGCTCACCTACATTACCGCGACTCCACTCTACACCCTGAGTACCTTCATACTCACTGTCACTATATTCAAAGCTGAGAGAACCGTGCTTACTTGTCACGTCAAGTTCGATACTTGGTTCCCTCTAAACGTCAATAATTTTCATTATTTATAATTATTTTTTTTTTATTCAAAATTCGTTTTATATAGCATGACATACCTTCGCGCTACAATTCTGACTTCTCGACCTTCGAAAGAAACCAAAGCTAAATAATCCAGCTTTCAAAGAATTGATCAGCGATGATTTCCCAGATGCGCAATGTCCAAGAAGTCTTATATGTAGCCGGTCTATCGGTCTGTGCGTCGGTTGCAGCTGACGAATGTAATTTTCGCGCTGATTCGGCTAAGAATGAATTAAACTAAGAATTAACGAATTCTTCAAACACGTGGAAAGAATTTACGCTTATCGAAAAAGTCCTTACATTTCGCAATTTATCTAACAAATTCGCGATATCCGGATATCCGTATTTGATCGCAGTAACGTCCGCTCGAATTCCTCGATTCGTCTTATCGACGTCGCAACCAGCAAGGCACAAATGTCTGACCAGATTAATATGTCCGTGTCGAGCAGCCACATGTAAAGCCGTGAGACCATGTTTGTTCGGTGTGTCCAGGTCGATTCCACTCTCTATCAGCAAAATCGTCATTCCCTCGTCGCCAGCCTCGCAAGCAATATGCAATAGAGTGTCTTCTTTCTGAACAATAACATTATTTTATGAATTATGTGAATTATCTTTCAATATTAGCAGGATAAATAAAAGATGCCTTACAGAGTCTTGTACGTTTAATGGAGCACCTTGCAACAATAACTGAGAGACAGCCTCAACACAACCTCGCTTCACAGCACTGATCATTGCTCCACCAAGACCCTGAGGAGCTTCAGATTCCTGTGCATAAAAAGAATAACATTTTTGTTATTTTTTTAATGCAATATCATACAACTAATATCTATAATATCATAAATTTTTATCTCTATAATATCATAAATTTACTATAACATTTTGCATAGCATGAAGATCATACTTTTCAGTAATTAAGGTATATATGTATAATAATAAAGAAAAATTGTTTTTTTTTTACTTAAAAATGTATATTGTATATAAAAAAATAGTTTTCGTATATTTAATATACGATATAACTGTACAACAGATCAATGTCATATTGAGACAAAAATTGGTCAAAAGAAAATGCATGGAATTGATACATTTAATAGAAACAAAAATGTATAATTAACCAATATTATTGAATAAGACAAATCTTTTTTTTTTCAAGAACACACCGTGAGAATCCAAGGATGTTTAAGGCACGATTCAGCACTTCCTCTCTCTCTAAAATAAGAAAATAATTTTTTTATCTTTACTTCTAATAATAAAGTCATAAATTTATAATTATTTTCAGACTTACTTTGGATCCTTGATCAACAAGGATCGTATGAAGTCTTTGGCAATCTCGGATACATTATTGAAATATTCATTGTCAAATTGATATTGACAAGCAGCAACATTTGCATATGTCTCTTGCTTGTCCTCGCCCAAAAATGGCGAAGCTCCACTCAGGAGAATATACGTCAATACACCAACAGCCCAAAGATCGGTTCCCAAGCTAAGTGGTTCGTAATTTACGATTTCTGGTGCCACAAATTCTGGTGTACCAAATAATGCTCTGTGTTCTGAACCAGGTACCAGTCGATGCGATAGACCTAAATCTGTGAAAATAATATATTTGTATTAATGACTTTAATATTTTAATGTTGCAAATTATCTATTAACTTAATTATCATTATTATTATAATATTACCTATTAGCTTAATGCTAGGCATCGGTGGTGGTGTCGACAATAGAATATTTTCAGGTTTAATATCCAGATGAGCAACTTGGTGGGAATGTAAATGACTAAGTGCCATTAGAACTTGGCGCACCTTAAAAAAGAAAGAATATATATAAATAGGTAGAATATTAAATATATATATTTAGTTGCAGTATCTATTTACATACCACATGAGCAGCTTCTGTTTCACCAGATGGAGTCCAGTGAAATAATTCACCTCCAGTAATCAACTCCAAAAGCAATACAACTGTTGTTCCTGTATCTATCACTTTGTATAAGGAAACAATGTTGGGATGCCTTAACCGAGCCAAAAGACCAGCTTCTCTTGCTAAAAATAAAATAAAATTATTTATTATAATGTAAAAATAAAGTATCCACAATAAATTACAATTATAAAAATATTACCAATATCTGCAGCAGCTACACCCCTGGCAACTCGTCTCTTTCTCATTATTTTTGCAGCATATAATTCACCAGTTTTTATTTCCTTGCATTTTCGTACAATAGCAAATTGACCCCTGTATTTTACAAATTGATAAATATTATTAAATAATTAATAAATATTAAAGAAAATATTAATTAGAAATAATGACACTTACTTGCCAATCTCTTCAAGAAGCTGATAGTTTTTTTCAATCGGTTCATGGTGGACCTCCATTAAAGTGTTCCACTCACAATCTAAACAATAAATATATTGCTGTTGTATTATTTCAATAAATAAATATAAATATATAAATAAATAAATATATATTATATATATATATATATATATATATATATATATATATATATATAATATGTCAATGTTATATATATATATATATATATATATATATATATATATATATATATATATATAACATTGACATATATACATGATATATACATAACAATAATGAAACTTAAATGCAAAAATGCAGGATAATTTAATGAATTAAGATAAAAAAGGAGTTGCGATTATTAAATAAATCAAGAACACCGAAGCAATAACATGTCAAAATGACATATTGCAAAAATCAATTAATAACTTCGGTGACGTACAAATCTAAACAGCGCATAGAGTGCCGTTGCCGAAAACTTCAAAGCCAATAATCAAGTAAGCATCACAGAATTTACTACAATTATCAAGCCGCGATTTAATATCTGTAACATCGTCTTAAAGGCGAAGGGTTGAATCGGTTGTCAAATTTCGGAGGGTCAGGCGCGGAGCGGAGAGGACGCAAAAATCGGACCGAGTTCTTCCTACCGTCAGACGTTTCCAGCTGGCCAGACGTGCCCGGCATCATCTCCCGATCGTGCTCATCGTTCGATCTATCCGAACAGCTTCGAGTCTCGCGAAGAGCCGTTACGAAAATTATGTGGCATCCAACGGCCTTCACCCATGCCGGCCGCCCCACACACACAATCGATATGCCTGTGTCGCGCGAAACGCCATCTTGCTACCACCGGGGCCGGTTTCCCATCGAGTCAGTGACGCTCAAACTCCCCTGACGACTCGTCGTCGTCGACGTCGTCTCAACATTTTACCGCACGCACGTCACATGCTCGCGTGTCTGTATTAATAGATTTTTCCTTTTTTTTGCATGTCAAGGATAAATATTTAATTATATAAAGTGCATACTTACGTATCGATATTGTTATCTTATCTTTAACAGAAGGAAATATTAAAATAAATATATTTTTTTAAGACTCGATTTCTATAAAAAAAAATGTAAGTATATTTAAATTATTATATATATTTTTTTAAAAGAAAAAAAAGAAATATTTAAAAAAAACTTTGCTTCCATATAGCTTGTTGAGAACAACTGTAGATGTTTGAAGTTTGAATATCTGTTTTGTACGAATTTCATCAGCACGTGTACGTTTGTTTTTATTATTGTTGGATTTGTGATTTTTGCCATTTAATTATTTAATCGCTGTCGATATGTATATATAATGTGATTTATTATTAACTAGTCAAGTAATTATTAAGAAAATTCCGTGTGTAATCACGATTGTTGAGGTTATCTAACCACGTTGACGTTTGCAAGCATATATAACAATAAAGTTGAATCTTTCAGAATTATGAAAACTAAACGAATTAATAAGGATGGGTGGAAACCTGTAGCATTGGAAGGTACTTTACTGTCCAATGGCATAGAAGGATTAATTGGAATAGAGGAATTAACCGATTATAGTTTGGAGCATATGCAAAATAAAGATCCACGCTGGCAGAACAAGAAGAAAGGTAAAATTATAACCACAGAAATAACGTCTGCCAAAAAGAAGAAGGTAAGTAATTTGTTTTATTGATATTTATTTTGATATTTTGAAATTTTTAATAAATTACTTAATTATTGAATTATAGTCAGCAGTAAAACGCAAATGTTTAGATGATTCGGAAGAAGCTGATGTTGACAGTGTGTCTTCCGTAAAGAAAGTAAAAGTCAAGAAAGCTAAAACAAAGAAAACAAAATCAACGGACTTCAAAACTAGTAATACAGATATTAATTCTGATGATGGTGAAAATGATTTGTACTCTGACACAAATAATAGTAAAAGCTTGGCAAAGATTAATGTCGAAGCATGGAGCTCTATGGGTGTTCCAACTATTGTGATAAAAGCTTTAGCTGATCAGAATTTTTATGGTCCTACTCCGATACAAGCTCAGACATTGCCAGCTGCTATATTAGGCCGCAGAGATATATTAGGTGCTGCTGAAACTGGTAGTGGTAAGACATTAGCTTTTGGTATCCCAATAATAAAAGGCATTTTGGATTTGAAGAAGCAGCAAATGGAGATATCAATGTCTAAAGAATCTGTAAAACATGACCTTCAAAATAGAGGATGGAATAATCCAGAAATAGGTATTATAGCAATATTATTTTATTAATTATTTTGTTATTTTTATAAAATTGATTTAATGCATTAATAGTTACTATTAATTCTTTAAATTTAAATATTTTGTAGAGAGTAATTCTGATTCAGAAAATGAAAATATACCAGAATCTGAAAATTGTGTACATGTCGTGAATAATATAAAGTTTGATAATTGTCAAAATATTGTAACAAAGCCTTTGTATGCATTAATTTTGACACCAACTCGCGAATTAGCGATACAAATAAAGAATCATCTTACTCAAGCAGCAAAATATACAGATATTAAGGTGAGACTAATCTTTCTTGAATTTAACATATATAATATTATATAATATTATTCTTTAGATAATATAATTATGTATAATTTTAATTGTAATATATTATTACAGATAGCTGTTGTTCTTGGAGGTATGGCAGCAGTAAAACAAGAAAGGATATTAAATAAAGGTCCTGAAATCGTCATTGCTACACCTGGCAGATTATGGGAACTAATTCAAGAAGGCAATTCTCATCTAAGTAAAATTGATTCTATTAGGTAATTGTCAATTTTTAAGCAGAAGAGATGTTTTTTTTTTTTTTTTTTTTTTAAATAATCTTTTATGCTACATTATTACATTATAAATTATTGTTATATAATTTATAATAGGTATTTGGCCATTGATGAGACAGACAGAATGATGGAAAAGGGTCATTTTCAAGAATTACATGATATCTTGGAAAAAATAAATGCAAATTCGATCAAGCTAGAGAAACGGCAGACATTTGTTTTCTCGGCAACTTTAACAATGGTTCATGACCTACCAGATTATCTCGAAAGAAAAAAGAGGCGATATGTCAGGAGTAGAATATCTAAACTCACTTCTGGTCAAAAATTGCAAAAGATTATACAATTGTTAAAAATAAAGAATCCTAAAATCGTCGATCTTACAAAAGAATCAGGTATGCATGCATTTTAATCAAGGAATGTGAACTTGTTTATTATGTATTAATCAAATTTATATTACCAGGTATGGCCGATAACTTGACAGAATGTCGAATAGCGTGCACAATCGACCATAAGGATTATTATCTTTATTATTTTTTGAAGAGACATAGTGGAAGAACATTAGTATTTTGTAACAGCATTGGTTGTGTCAAAAGATTGTCCACTCTCTTCAGCATACTTGAGTGCAAGCCTTTACCTCTGCACGCTAATATGCAGCAACGACAACGTCTAAAAAATCTCGAAAGGTTGTGAAATGTATATACATGTACATATTAAATATATTTCTTGTGAGATTTGTACTAATCGAAAGAGGGATTTCAGATTTCAAGCTGACGAAAATGGACTTTTGATAGCTACGGATGTAGCCGCCCGAGGTTTAGATATACCTAACATAGAGCATGTAATACATTATCAAGTTCCCAGGACATCCGAGGTAAATATCTGAAATATCAATGTTTATATAGTATTGTAATGCTTGTCACGAGATTAATTTGACAATTATTTTACAGAATTATGTACACAGAAGTGGTAGAACGGCGAGAGCAGAAAAAGAAGGTATCACAGTTCTAATAATGGAACCTTCTGAAAAACAGAACTATAGCAAATTGTGCAAAACTCTTGGACGCAGTACGTTTACATGATAATATTAATATTCACTTATTATTAATAATTAGAAATATAATAATAATAATATCAATCTGTTTTCAGCACACGATTTACCCACATTTCCTGTAGTGGACAGGCTATTAATCGCTGTAAAAGAAAGAGTGGATACTGCTCGCGATATTGATAAGTTAGAATTAAAATATCGCCGACAGAATACTCAAAAAAGTTGGTTACGGAAAGCAATGGAGGAAATGGATATGGTCGTGGACGACGACGATGATGAGTAAGAGAAATAAATTGGTTTGCTCATATTTTCACATACAATCTGTACAACGTAAATTATAATATCTTTTTTATTTTAGTGAATCATCAACGGAATTGGAAGAAGCAGCAGCATTGAGACGACAATTAAAAGTAAAGAAAAATCAGTTGCAGTCTCAGTTATCAAAACCAGTATTCCCGAAAGGATTCTCAGGAAAGTATCTCGATGATAATTTAAACATAGATCCTGCTCAGAATACAGAGAAAGCTATCGAAGTGATGAAAAAAGTAATAAAAAATCTTGATAAAAATCAAGAAAACAATACTATACGTCGGAAAAAACAACGACTGTAAAACATTTTCAAAATTAAAAAATATATATTTTGTTTATATATATAAATCATGTTGAATTTTCTTCATCGCATCGTTTTGCTGATTTAATATTCATTAAAAATATGGGTTTCACGGGACAATCACGAGTTAACAAAAAGTAAATTTTATTTTGACGCAGATTATATTTACATTCATAATTAATTTGAGCCATTCATCATTCTAAGAAACATATTTTTAATATGCACATGTTTCTTTTTTAATTGTTAGTAAATTAAAGTATGGCAAAGGGTATGTACAGAAGATTTCTGCATTTTTCTACAAACACGTACATATTTCCTTGATATGCACATGCTTATGTAATATAATACATTTCTCGAAACAGCGAATAGAGAATTGATCGATGAACACAGCCGGTTTGCCTACACTTTAAAAATTTCACATATCGCTGGCTCGAGTTACAATTGAATTCCTTTTACATTTTCGTGATTATTAATATTATATAAACACAATAAACGTCAATCCGACAATCTCAGAACACGGTATTATATATCACTTCGTCCTCCGTACTAATAATGGAGTCTATCTGCTCAGTCATCACCATCGAGTTCGCGTATCTCTCGTTGTCGATCATATTGTGCGTTTTCAAGGACGACTCATGGCTCTGCACGACGATCCTGATTCGCGCCATCACGTGACTTCCTGGACATTTTTGCACCTGGTTTACCATCGCGGTGTCACAAATTTCGGCGTAGATCTCCTCGTTTTTGTTGCTGGTCCTGATCAGCTTCGGTGGTGATGGCAACGGGGTCAAACTGTCCCTCACGCGAGAATAATTGGGCTGCAGCTCGACGGACGTCGGTGGTATTTCCAACACGCTAGTCGACACAGATCTCTGCACTGGCTGCTTGGTGTTTTGATTCTGACGAGTCTGATGAGAGGTAGTTTCAGGTTCCAAACTGGAGTAACGTTCCTGAGATCTCATGGCTATCTCCGGCCTCACCGCGAATGTGAACGAGGCCGATTTCTTCGCGGGATTGCGATTTTTGCTACTTTGAGCGAGTTTCGAGATTCTCTCGAGAATGCCATTTCCGGTGCTCTGCTTTGTCTGTTGGTTCCGTTCTTTCGCGGTACTCCGCTTCAGATGTTCGAGTCCATTTTTCAGACTTTGCAGAATCGGTTTAGACTCCGGCTTCGGCTTGATCTTCTTCAGATGCATCTCCTTCAGGGTCTCGGCTGTCGGCGGTTGCAGTTTCACAGGCGCCACTCGCGGCTCGGTTGCGCGATCTCCGACCGCTCGACTGTGAAGTAGAAAAACCAGTTCAACCACATAGAATATAAATTCTAATATATAATAAACTGACTGATGATTTCTGCGATATATGTCACATTTTTAAGGAAGTTAGACGCATCGAAAAACCATAATTCGAAATTTTATTACGAATAATACGGTTGACAAATTAAAAAAAAGGATATTTTTATTGTAATTTATACTTAGTGATTAATTTGAATAATATGCTAAAGTCTTAGAAAATGAAATTTTTTTTTTATTAAAGTAAAGTTAATTGTTTGCTTTAAATTCAATTAATTGCTTTTACCTGCAGGCTGATAGTAATCGTTGTATTTTCGGGGAGGCCAGCAATCTGGCCTCTGAAGTTATAACCCAATCTGGCTCTTCGCCTCTCGGTGCCCCGTTACCGGACACTACTAATCGAGATTTCCGGATTATGCACTGGTCTCTCCGGAACGACGCAGCCCAAAACTATTGGACCTCGCGTCGACGTTTCCAGCTGCATTAGAACCGCCCGTATTCCTTCGGCAACGGCACCGGCAGTGGTCCTGCTATCAGTCGTACCTGAAACGACAAATATATTATTAATCTATTTAATCGATTAGGGAAAAGAATGAAAAAAATGGTAATAAAATATTTCTCAGCGCTGGTTATTAAAGAGATAGAAATGAGTTTCGTAAGAACGACTCACTCTGAGAGGCAATTGCCTCTTGGCGAGATGTGAACCTTGTAGAGCACCGCGTCACTTCCGGTATCGACGCTTCCGTTTTGACAGATCGCGTAAAACTCGCCCCTCGTTGACAGCGAGGCGAACACCTCTCGTCCCTGAAGGTCGATGCATTGTGCGTATTGATCCTTTTCGGGATATCCGCCGGAGATCCCGAAGGAGACCGAGCTGCATCTCCTCGTATCCTGGAAGACCGCAACGAGCCGCAGTATCTCACCGGCTCTGATCGTCGTCTTGGTATAATGGGCGCGCAGATTTCCGTTCTCTGAAAAAAACAGAATTGATCGTATGGATATCGCAACCGCGATATTATTCGCGATGTTGCGAAGGTACAAAGGGCGTCGTGATCATGCAACTCGTTTCTCTTCGATTGTTGTTGCGCGCGCGGGTCCCGTTAACAACGCGTTGAATCTCAAAAGAAGCCCGGCGTATAATCGATCCTGGCAGCAGTCGATGTCCTAAAGGCATCTTTAACGGTACCGAACGATACTAAAAGGCGGCAGAAGTCCTTCCAGTCAGTGTCCGATGGTCTCTCGCGCGATATATTGTACGCGTATCTAATATTAGGATCGGAGACTGAGATTCCAACCGCTGCCGTTATATACTCGTGTTTTTATTGATAATCCCGTTTTAACGAAGCTTCAGTTTTATCACGTGGTAGTTTACATTTCTTATTAATGCGTCTCATCGGTCTAATTATTAGCCGATTTACGATACGTTAAAGTGTCTGGCCGCAGTCCGACAGAAAAATGTTCGGAACTCTTCCTCTATCAATTTTAACAAGATTGTAAAGTAGACATGAGAGAAATCTTTACGCGTATAAATGTGTAAACAGAGTTTTTAATGAATTTATTGAAATTGAGTCTTTTAATGAACATCTTCCTATTCGTCTCGAATATCTTTTTTTATTTATACACGCGCGAATATCTTTTCATTTTTATATCTTTCAACTTCTAGACTGTCAACAGAAAAATTATTGAACGTGGTAATGGGCAATATTTTTTGTAAAAAATATCCTTGAAAAGATATATTTTCGAACGTACATTTCTGTTTTCGTGCGGAGCAAATGAAGATAAACAGAGAAAAAGATCACTTTCTACATTGCATCGATATGCATCTGGGTCAAGAACGTTGCATCGCTTGACATTTCGCGAACGATCAAGATCGCGATCGCGGCACCTTCCAAGTTTCTTCTGTCAGAACTTACCCATTTTCGAGTGTGTCAGCGTGTAAGCTCTTAAAGGTGTCGCGAGCAGAAACACCGGCACTCCTGTCTTCACCAAAGAATCCACCCTTCGGTAGACGCGTGCACTGCCCGTCGTGTTATTGCCAGATATCACAGAAAACCATCCTGAAAAAGATGAAATGTTAAATATCAATGCGAGAAACTGTTCGAGAAAGATACATGGAGGATTTCGCTTTGATTCTAAACTAAACATGACATTAATAAATATAATAAATACCATAAAGTTTGGTTCCACATATCGACCAATAGATTATTATCTATTTAATGAGTACAAGTTCTTCAAAAGAAAAAGAATACTCAAATTTAATTATATAGCTTTTTTGTATCGTATCGTTTTATAATTGTCAAAAAGCAGTAGTATATAATTTTTTGGACATGGAAAAAAGAATGTACAGTTTGCTTTTGTTTGACGCAAAAGAGAGAATCCGAAGGCTGAATTTTTGTTAATCGTAGCAAGAATGATTGGAAGAGACCAGTCGGCATCTGTTGAAACAGCATTTAATGTACGCTGGTAGCTCCGGGGCGGGTTAAAAAACGTATCTATCTGAAAGGAAGGAACTACGTGCTTCTCTTTCTGAGGCTTCAAGCTGCTCGTAAAAAGAAAAAAGATCCTGCCAAATTGCAAACAGGCGATTTCAGCTGCGCGCGGTTGCACACGGAGACACAGTAGCCGAGTGGTCGGTCGACTGATCGAAGGTCGGCTGGTTCTTTTGCTCGTCGTTAATTGATTTAAGAATGCCGCCCCGATCCCCGATATGCGAGCGCACGTCTCGAATCCCGCCCCTTAAGGCCCGCTCGTTCTGGAATGCAAAAGAAGGACGGACCCGCCTTGCCGAAATCCTGAATCCTTCTATTGAAAGCGAAATTAACACTGGACTTTCTTAATAATTCATTTATAACGAGACCGAAAAAACTTCAAATTAATTGAATTTATTAAAATATTACAAGTGACGATTAAAAATTAATTATAAAAAAAATAATTATTTTACTAAAATGTAGTTTTCTTCCTATACCCAAATAATATATTAATTTATCAATTATTTTACATATTTATTAATATGTATATTATATGTATTTTATATTTTATTCGTTCTTTCATTCAATTAGAAAATATTCAGGATTCGAGTTGAACGTCGAGCAATCGAGAATCGCATAAACAAGAAAAAGAGTATATGTGCATGCGGAGAGAGAGGAAGGGCAGTTTCCCTTGGGAAAGTTTTTCCGTTTGCAGGTTGCGCGCATTAATTCTCTGTTCGAGGTTAACTGATGGAATAATCTAACGGCCGGCGGGACTCCTGGTTTTTGTTTGTTCTAGATCAACGACCTGGAAAACCGGCGCGCAATTAAGACGGACGATATTGACTCTACGGTCTTGAGAACGCCTCCTAGGGAGTTAATGGAGAAGGAAGGGTGTTCTCTCTCAGCCCACCTCTCGGTACACAACGCATAGAAGGACGCGGCGTCTATCTCGGGACGAGAACGTGTATCCTCCCGGAAAGAAATGTTGCGAAGGCGTACGCTCGCAATTACACAAGCGTGTACGGCCTTCCCTCACTTTCTATTTCTACGCGCGCATCCGACTCAGGTATATAAGAGAGATACCTCGGCAAGAGAGCGCGTTCGGTTCGTAATTGTAGGGATCGCCGCATCTGCTGCGAAAAATCTACGGAAAAGTTCAGGCATTCAGACGCACGCCAACCATTTCTTAACGCGTCTTATTGTCTTGCGTAATTATGAGATTACGCGCTTATCGATTCGCGTAATGAGCCCCGGCGAAACCTTATCCAGGCAACCTATTTTGTGAAGCTAGCTAAGCAACGTGACTATCTTTGTTTTTTTTTTCAGACAAGAAAAAGAGCACTAAAATATATAAACATACATAAATGTATGCAATTAAAAAATGAATGGAGCTTAATTAAATTATTTGTGTTAAGTGATACAAA